GACAGGGATGCCGTCAGGTCCTATGGAATTGGTGTGGGATTTCATTACTGGTTCATTACAATGGTTCTAAATTTAAAAACATTCTAAACAAATTCATATGAGCTACTTGACGATTATCAAATTTCGATAACCTAAATGAAAAACAAAATTTGTACTTATTACAATCATGATTAAAGAGAGAAAAAAAAAATACTTACGGGATCACTGCACCAAGCACACGATGGAGTTTGAATACATTCATGACAAGTCTGTTTAAGAACACACGGATTCTGTAAAAGTTTTTCAGCCTGGGATGATACCGAACCAATATAAAGGCAAAATATTGCAACTATTAATTTCATAGTATCTGAAAAAAAAACTTAATTAATATAAAAATACGGCATAATAAGAAAATATTTTAGAAACATATATCTTTTTTATGGGGGAGGTTTTTAGACAAGTATTGACAATAACACTCTAAGGAAGAAGTCTGAATAAAATAAAATTAAATTCTCTTTTATTAAAAAAAAAAAAAATCAGTTATTTAATTAATAATGTGTTATTATATTTTATTTAACTTAATATCATATTGATTAGGATGAGCATGATAAGTTTTATCAAAGAGTTAAAATAGAATATGAATCTTTCATTTCCTGCTGCCAGTTAGTATTAATACATGACTCAAGAATTTCCAAGATTTATATGAAGAAAAAATTCATATATGTCATCAAAATTTCCTTTATGCAGTTCATCCACTTAATATCATCTCACATAAAAAAAACAATTTTATTCTACAAACATAAAGTTGTATCTCAAAAGGTATGAAGAATAAGACCCATGTTTTCAACTTATGGAATACATTTTTTGCTAAGGTTTTGAAGATTAAATCTGTGAATATTCTTAAATGTTGCTAAAATTAATTTTTGAAAGAAAAGTAAATTTTATTCTTGGACATTTAGTCCCCTCAGAATAACTACAATGAACAATGAAATGACAATTGTCTGGCATAAGAATGTAATTAAAAATAAATTAATTAATAAAGTTATCTAACACTAATCTATACAAATAAAATAAAGGTTTTGTCTGTATATTGAATAGAACCAACTCGTTTCATGATATCTTTCCGTTCCATACATTACAGACACCAAATTCACTTTTAAAAATTTGTTTGTCTGTCTGTATGTCCAACAAAATTTTTCCAAGGGTAAGCTCATCAATGGCTAATAGTAGACTTTTGAAATTTTGACATTATATTTAGGTTTGCTTGAATTAAACTATAGGCTTTAAATGAAAACAAAATATTGAGTAGAACCAAAGTTATGAATTCTTGAGTAATTTGTCTAGAGATCCCGGTTAGGCAGTTACTTACCTTGATTCTCATCTCAACCTACTATACCACGAGATACATTTATAAGTTGTACTATTCAACTGATCAATTACAATAACAAAATTTTTAAAAACAATTATAATAACATAATAAAAATAATTAAATTTTGTTTTTATTATAATAAAACTTTTTTTTTTTTTTTAATTTCTTATCCCGAATAATATAATAATTTGAAAAGGATTTTGTATTAAGGGAAGGATCCTTATTTAATTTCATAAAATTGGGTGAGGGGGATTGTTTTAAAATTTTTTATGGGGGCTTATGGAAGTCAAGGTTTCGCAATAGTCATAATAAAAGCTTTGTAATTCAGCTATTTGTCTAGAGATCCCTTTAATAAAATACCTTTAGATATAATTTTAATTGGTCTTGAGATTCTGGTTAGGCAGATACTTCGATTTTCATCCTAATCTACTCTACCGCGAGCCAAACTTAAAAGTTGTACTATTCAACTATACACCCTTGTTGACGGGTATATCAGCGAGTATTTTTACATATACTCAGGAATTTTGATACAGTTATAAAAGAAAGTCTTGATTTAAAATATCAAAAAAATTATTAATATCTAAATAAAGAGAAACTGATTACAATGTTTTCATTAACACTTTCATAGCAAAACAATTAAGTTCTTGCTGACATGAAACTGAACCATTAATAGTGCTGAAAACAATAATTTGGAAATTTCATTATGGATTAGTAATGTAGACAGTTTAAGAAGTTAGCTAAACATGAATTGCTATAATTCATGTATCTTATCCGGTTTGTTAGTGCCCTTGAGATATTAATGCAAGTAGCTGTGAATGGTATTACTAAATTACCAGTAAAGTAGTTATAAACCAATATCGAGCTACTTCACCATAACATCCCCAGATATACGGTAAAATCCTTAACATTCTTCAACTATCAGTACATACTGCTAAAAGGAACCACTTAGTCAAAGGTTTTCTTAAACACTTAAAGATTTGGTTCATCAAAACAAAGAAAAAACAGTATTGGTTTTTAAATTTTAGGACAGTAAAAAAGATGTCTATTTTTGGAATTATCTATAATGGTATATTATTTAAAAGATGGGTTAAAATTAATCACAAGATTTAACTATAATAGTCAATCAATTTTGTCAATATACTTTAATAATTATTAGAATTCATATTTTACAATATTTCAACATAGCAATGATTTGTACTATTATAGTACAAAGGTACATTTGACGTTATCGAAACCAAATTTTGTCCTTATTATCTGGTTTTATTACAATTAAGAAAATATTAATATTTTCTAGGGAAATATAAAAATTGAGGAAGTGTATATTCTATTATCTAAATATATGCATAATTAAACATATTTCCTATTTATGAAAAATTAGGGATTTAGAAATCAGTATTTTATATTTTTTCTGGACTGTCACTTAGTATGAATGTTTAAATAAAGAATGATCTCATAAAAACTCACTAGTGACAACTTAGGCTTGTCTCTGAAGGACCTTGGCCATCAAAGTCACCTTTTTATGTCAGGGTTCTCCTTCTGAGACCATTATTGGTAATAATTTTTTAGATAAAACATTAAAAATATTTAGAAACAAGAGCCAAAATTTTAAGAAATTAAAGAGATCTAATAATTAAAGACAGAACATAATTTTTGATATATTTTTATCACCCACAAAAATTTTTACTGTTACGGAAAAACTTTAAATAAAAACATAGATAAGTTTCTGTAATGGTTAAGGAAATCATTGGGTAGAAGGGGGAATTCCAATGAGATATATGGGATATTAGAAGATTAAAAATATAATTCAAAATAATGTATTATACAAAACAAATTATTTAAGTTACTATTTCAAATTCTAGATGAGACTATTTAGAAGTTTATGAATGGCCAATATCTCCATAGATATTTTTAGATAAGGTAAACAGTTAAAGGGACTTCATAATGGTTACTGACTCACTAGTATATTAGTCATTCAGTTTAGGTTTAAATTTAAAACTTGAATAATAATAAATAGTATAATTTCTTTCTTAATAACAAAAATGAATAATCTGATCATTAGAATAAACATTAATGTTTTTATCTTAAAAAGAAAATACTACTAAGTCAACAATCCTGTAGTACTTGAGTGAGTTAAGAATTCATTCAGAATTGTGATAAACTAGCAATTTATTCTTCATTCTTAAATTAAAACAGAGATTTATTGTAGCCATTATCAGTGTTAGAACAAATAACTAATTTCACTCTGTTGTAGCAAATTATATTCACAAAAAATAAATTCTAAGATGACACAACCACAAAATATAATGGAAAATCATTTTTGTTGGTCTTAAAAATAAGCCATTATCATATAAGAAACAAAAAAAGGTGCAGATGTTGAGGACTGGTTAATAAAGCAATCTAAGACCAATCTGATTATCATGCATTTATTATCTCTTACCCATGTTTATAAAAAATCCTTTGAGTATTATCAGCTATTTTAAAACTATTTACAACATAAAATTTAAATGTTCACGGTAAAACCATCCCAACCCACAACATCCTTTAAAACCTGACTTAACACCCAATAAGGAAACTGGGCTAGCACAGTGAGCCCACACCACGCACTCTACTATCCCCACCACTATCCCCTCCCACTCAATATGGTATTTTTTTTAATGAAGTAGATGGGGTTGAGGGTAAAATTGTATGATTGTAATTATTATTTATGAATTATTTTTTATTATTCAAAGAATGTTCCATAAAAATTAACTAAATATTACATTTTTTTAAACATTAGGATAAATTTTCCTGGAACTGGTAGAAGGCTTATGGTGGAAATACTGACAATTCAACTATTGAATCATAATTATTTCAGTTACCTCCATCATGAATAATAGTTGATGAAATAATATCATATTAAACATGCAATTTCTCTATAGTAGTTATAACTCAATATTTCACAGATAATAATAATAATAAAAATTTCGCTTGGTGTTATAAAATGCGTACAATTTGTTATTTAAAATCCAAATATATTTTAAATAAATATTCCCATTATTAATTTAAACAATTCACCAATTTGGAAATAATGTTTTATTTTTTAAATAATTAATATTTGCTTTTTGTGCAAATTTATTATTGCGTTAGAATTTTCCTTAAATACAACCCTTCTCCAAGATTATTCACTCACCTCAAGTTTTAATTATTAATGTAAACTAAGTTTTTTAGCTTAGGTAATTTGAAATTAATTAAATTCTTTTTAGTATTTTTATCATTTATATATTGTTTATAAACTCAGATAACAAAAAAAAAGTTTTATTAAGTTAGTATTACTGTTTTTATATTTTAAATGCTTATATATTTTATAAATTAAACTTAAATTTGTTTTCATAGAAAATAAATTAAATAAAAGCCAGTCTATCTATTAGGTATATAGCTATTTGCTGGCACACCCTTTTTTTTTTTTAACAGAAGCAGTATCATCCAGAGTTATCTGCATTTGAACTGTTGGTTGTTTTTATTATACTTTTTAATTAAAAGGATTTTTGTAAATAATATAAAAATATATAATCATAAATTAATGATATACTCTTATAAAAATGTTATATTTTGATGAATGAATTTGTAGTACAGAATATATTCAATAGATGGCAACACAGTGATGAAACCTGATGTTACCTACCCGCCATATATTTGGTGTCAATGATATCATATGGGATTAATTTTTATTTTCCCTTCTATTCATATCTCTTTGTCATGATGCACTGATTAGTTGATTGTAATTTTATGTCCTTATGAACTATTAACTTTAATTGGACGACATATTTTCCTCGGTTTCTTTATAACCTGTATATATTTTGGTGATGTCTAATTTCTAAAATAATTCCGTAAATTTTCGTGTCTATGTTACCCATTTTAACTGTCCGTTATTAATTTTGATTTTTTTTTTCCTTAAGAAATAAACGGTGGGAATATTTGTTTACTTGTACTTGGATTAAGATAGTCTTTTTGGTTAAAATAATGGCTAAAACAGGCATGCTGATTATTACGAACCCTACCAAATTAAATAAACTAATACCTAGAATTAGAAATGAAGTAAAAAATACCTTATATGTACAATTTTTTCCGCCCAAAAGACCAGGTATTAGTAATGGCATATTTGCCAATTTTAATATAACTCCACCGTTAATGTACAGTAAGTCAGTCAAAAGTTTTTATAAAAGCACAAATGATTTAAAGAAATTAGATGTGAGAATTCTATTAAGCGCAATCAAAAACCCCACAGTTTCTAAAATAAACACCAGACAACCAGTCGAGATAGTTTATTTTGACCAAGTACTTAATGATGATGAAATGAAAGGATTCATAACTTCCTGTATTGAAAATAAAACTCATAATTGCCGTACAATAGCATTGTGTGAATCTGAATGTGAACAGTTGGATGATTCATCTGTGGATACCAGTGAATCTTTTAACTCTGTTGTATTAGGTGGAACATTTGATCGTTTACACAATGGCCATAAAATTTTATTGAGCGAAGCAGTTTTAAGGTGTAAGAAAACATTGACAGTTGGGGTTACTGATACTGATATGCTCAAAAGTAATTATTTGTCCATAAATTTCATATATATATATTTTTTTTATGAGAATAGCAATTTTAAATTACTGTTTCATTGCTAGCTAAGAAACTATGGGAGTTAATCGAGCCATGCAGTTTGCGGATGGACAAAGTGAGGGATTTTTTGGAGGATATTGATCCGGATTTAGAATACAATATCATTCCTATAAATGACATGTTTGGTCCTACAAAGGATGATCCTACTTTTGAGGTATAATTTATATACTGTGGTTAAGTATTGTTGCTTGTGTTTTCATTTACAAATTTAGTTTATATTTTGGTATGAAGGCTAAAGCTGAATGTGGTGTATTAGGTCGTTTGACGTCTTGTTGTTTGTTATTAAAGATTTTCCTATTTGTTTGAAAACATATTTATTCAATTATTGTATGATGACATGTCCCTCAGAAGATTTATATGTTGTTTTCAATTATTATTTGAAGTTATGTTTATTGGGTCTTAAAATTGATTTGTTGCTAGTCTACACCTTGTGGTAAAATGGAGATGATAATAAAAAAATGAAATTGTGATAGTTGATGAAAATGTGATCACAAATTATTTATGATTTGAGAAGGCTTTGATTAAATATGATACTTTTATTGTTTAGATTTAAGGACATCGAGTAAAAAAAAAAAAAGTTGTCATGTGATTAAGGCTTTGGACGCCTAACTACTTTTCTCCCTTTGACAAAGCCCATTAATTTTCTGTCAAGAATAAATATTATTAATCCCAAGTATGGTTTATACTTGAGTTGTTCAGCATTAGAAGCGCTGCACTAAATCTACTATGCTACCTCTCTCTTTATTGTATATATTTGGATAATTTTATTTATTTATAAAAAAAAAACAACGGCTTCTTGACAAATTATTCTATGAAGAGTTTATATCAGAGATTATCTGTACTGTTATTGTCTTACTGTTTTTAAATGATTCCACTCCCTAATATAGATTGATAAAGGAATATTTCTTATCTACTTTTCCTATTGAAATTTTTAATTAATAGAACTTCTGTTAATTCCTTAACTAATAATATTTTTTCACGAAAGGTTCTTCTTCTTCAAACTTTCCTCAAATGGCCAGATCCGGGATTCAGTTTGTTGGAAGTTGATGTAATGAAAAGAAAAAGTTGAATCATACAAAGTAATAATTATAAATAAATAATGTACAATTTAAATTTGTAAGTTTAAAAATAAATATAAAAACTTTGCATTTATAATAAAATTAACAAATATTGAAATAAATTATGTCAATTAATTATTATAATGCAATAGGATGGAGAACTTTACCTTTTAAACGGTCTCTAATGTGCACCCTCCATATCCATGGCTGCCAGATTGGATTTTCTTCTTAATGTAGGGTGTTTTTCCCGTTTTTTATTTTTTATTGTGACCACAGATTTTAGGCTAAACTATTTTTGTGTATTTTTATTACTTTTTTTATATATAATAATAATAATAATTGTGGGTTGATGGTTGACTGTAGTGAATAATGAAGAGAAGGTTGATTGGGGTGATCAGTCAAAATAAAAAGGGCAAAAATAAATATTAAAAAAGTATTATTTGAGAAGGAGTTAATCGGGGGGTGTGGTCAAATAAATACTAAATTAAACAGATAGTAATTATTTAATTTTTTCCAACGTTTCGACCCACTTTGCAGGTCGTCTTCAGTGCTACAAAAGATACAAAACATGGTGAAAATATCTACAAAATATCTTTAGTTGCTTGGCAATAATAACTTCCAATTATTAACAATACGAGTATATTTTTAACATTACATGTTAACAGTCTAGTTTACGTTTCGGGACCTTTTATTCCCATCTTCAGAACTGCAATTCCAATACTCTTGTGGGTGCAAGGCTTAATTCTAATGATAATAATGATGTGCTCCATCATCAATTTTCTAATTTATGTTCTAAAATTTTATCATCTAGAGCAACATTCTCCTTTTTTCCACAAAAAGGATCCTGAAGATAAATTGTATAAAGCAATTCATCATACGTTTTAGTTTCACTTCGAGATCCCCAGAGATGCCTCCATATACCGTTTAGCAATAGTCAAAGTGGGAAAATATTAAGGAGGTGACCAGGAATCTACGGGTTTCAAAAGGAAGAAGGTGGCAGAGTTAATTTAGATGTTTTTTGGTCGAAAAGGTACAGCGGATGATATTGGAAACATGGTTTTTCCAGAAAAGGGTCTGATCAAAGGTTATTCCATGCTTCTTGATAGTGGTATGAAATTTTATGAGATTATCATGCAAGAACAGATTTGGAATGTTAGGAACAGTTTTGAGGAGGTGATTGGAGCCTATTAGGATTGCCTTTGTCTTCTCTGCATTCAACTTTAGCTTGTTAGCTCCTGCCCATTCACAGATTCTATTTAAATCTTGAAGTTTTTTTTGTTGCTGGTAATAGGTCAGAAGGCGGGAAGGACAGGTATATTTGGAAATATATTGTTAAATGTTCAATAAATGAAGTGATGCGATGGGCGTGGGCCTATTATTTCAGGATTTAAAGTTTGAATCCTCTCAGGCTCGTATACCATCAGGATAATTTTCTTCTAGAAATAATCCAAACAAGTACGTAAATCATTAAACAATACAAGTATTGAAGGAAGTTAGTTGACTATTCTACATATCATGGATGATAAATAGTCAGAACACATTCATTTTAAAGGTTTTTTATTGGTGCTGACGTTTCAACGCAAGCATGTGGGTCATCATCAGGGCATTTTGAGCACTGAAGTTATTTAAGTACTGCTAACGTATGCTCCAATAAAAAATTTTTAAAATGACTGTTCTGACTATTTATCATCCATGATATACAAAAGAAGATCAAATTAAAACTTTTGAACTCATTTTTATTTTATTTTTTTATTTCTTTAATATGCTCCCTCTGGCACTGAATGCACTTAATATGCCTAGGTTAATTGTTACCCTCTGATTGGTGAAATTTTTACTGCTTTTTTTAATTATTTAATTTCCATGTCTGATTTATCTGTTTCAAGTTTGCTTTTAATTATTAATTTGATCTGATCTTTCAACTACTATGGCTAATGTAAGTAATATTAAATAGGCTGAATTAAGTTAATATAAAAATGTTAAATAAACCTTACAAAAATATATATCATTAAAAGTTTGCAACCAAAGTTTTTGTGATATCAAGTGACAAAACTGTTGACATTTTGATTGAAAAAAAAGGGAAACCTCCTATTGTTTTATTTCTTTGAAAATCCCACAATCAGCTAACACTTATTTTTCATACTGCCACAGTGGCCTGTGTATTCCATTAAAAATTAAAAAAATATTTCAATATAGTTAGTTAACACTTGATTTTATTAATTTTATTGTAATAATAAAACAACATATTTTTTGTTTGGCTTTAAATATTTATTTACCACCTGTCACCTATATGTCGACAATCAGCAAATGTTCTGAAAATACAGACAAAAATGACATACGAGAAGGAAAGTATTCAGTAGCACCTCTTCCCAAACTTGAAATGAAGTTCAAAAATGTGTAGATTATTCTGGCCTTTATATATAATATAAATTTATATAGAAAATACCAAGGAAAATATGAATATAAAAAAAAATACTAAGAAAAATACAATTATATACAGCAAGTACTGAGAGAAAAAGAAAAAAAGTGAATATTTACAAATAAAATGGCTCCTATCAATTAATTGCTGGTGATGAACATAATTATATAAACAAAAAATTCTTACAAGCTTGTGGAAGTTTGAGTTTGTTGTAGGATATGGAAAAGGTGTTGTTTCAAGGAATTTATGGACGTGGTTTAATATATGGGGATGGGTAAGGAGTTCCAGAAGGAGGTAGCACGAATGACAAAGAATTTGCTGAAGGAAGTGATTTTATGGGAGCGGATATATAAATCTATAGGTTGAGATCTGGTGTTAAGCGAGTGGGATAGATGAGCATAAAGTAAGGAGTTCTAAGATGTAGGGAGGATTTTTGGTTCTGAGGACTTGGAAAAAGAAATTGCCATCGGGAAGTAGGATAAAGCCACTTCAATTCGGTGGACCATCAGGAAAGATGAAAACTTCTGAGAATCCTAAAGATGAATCTTTGAAGCAATTCATAAGTTTCTTCAGTCTCGCCTCAATTCAATTTTCAACAAAACTGTTCAAGATATTGAATTTCATACTTTATATTTTGTGTACTTTACAATAGTATACTTATGTAGACCATTTTGTTAGAAATTTCGTCTAGAATTATTCCCCAGAGTTTGACCATTAAGAACTGAGGCACCCTTTATACTATTAAAATAATCTTGTAAGGCCTTCCAACGCGCTCTGTAAATAAATAATAATATTTGAAGAAAGCCTTAAATTGTACAAAAGGAATACAATAGTGAAAATTATGTTAAACCAAGCACAATCAGAACAGATGTTTTAGGCTTTCATGAAAATCTCTCATCGTCTTGTTTAAATATCATTAAATATGTAAATAGATTTTTAAATTTGTATGAATTTATATGTTGATATTTATTGCACACTTCATTTTGTAGATGATTGTAGTTAGTGCAGAAACTGTTGGTGGTGGTAAGAAAGTTAATGAATTGAGGGTTAGTAATGGATTAAAGCCACTTCATGTTGTTAGTGTCGAACTTATACCTGATATTAAAATTGATGAAGAAGAAGAGGACAAAATAAGCTCCAGCAATGATCGTTTACGTCTGTTAGGAACATTAATAACTCAACCAGAGGTTCGTGGTTAAAACTTTTTTTAATTTCTATTCATTATCTCCCAGATCATAACATTTTACTTCTTAATATTAAGCAGTTTTTTTCCAGCCAAGAACACATATCCCATCTCAACCGTACGTCATTGGTCTGACTGGAGGTATTGCTAGCGGTAAATCATCAGTATGTGCGAGATTGAGACTGCTTGGGGCTGGTACTGTCGATTGTGATAAAATAGCTCATGAACTGTACCTACCTGGAACTACTATTTACTCTCAGTTAATTGAAATATTTGGTTCTGCCATAATAGGAGATGATGGAATTATTAATAGGAAGATTCTGGGGCAAATGGTTTTTAATGATAAGGTAATTAAATATGTCCTCTTAAAATTCTTAACAAATTTTCTTAAATTACATTATAAAAATCACGATGTAATGTTATGGCCATTTTAAAATAAATTATGTATGAACAGGATATTTGACAAGCTCTCTCCGTGAGTTAGCTGCAGCCTTGGATAAAAAGCTTCCCCACCTATGGGATAATCTATAAGTGGGGAATCTTTTTGTTATTAAAGACCGCAATAAATTTTTATAGTTTACTATTAAGTAATTTAAGTAAATACGTATAAATATATTCAACTTAATTTTATTAAAATTTTAATTTTTGTAATATAATTAATTAATTTTAGTTCTAGACTAATAAAGACCATGAAAAAATGTTTAGAGGCTAAAAACGCAAAACCACAGTGGGTCCCCTTCAACTTAATATTTCATTTGTTTTTTTTTAAATTATTTTTGGCAATAATATTAATATACGGGTTAAGTTAAGAAACTTACTACATCATTATAATAAAAGTTTCTTGTTATACATAAAATAACACATTTTTATTTTACAAAATTACTTAATGGGAATAGTATAACTTAGTAGTGTTCATATCATTACTATTATGGCTTTAACTATTTTTTTTTGTAATTCGCGAAAACATTTATTGGCAATAAATAATAAAAAATAATAAAACAACTTTGAAAACATAGAGGAGAAGCTATTTCTAAGTGTATCACTAACCAGATCTTAGACATCTGGATAGTAGATGATTACATTCTTGAAGAATGTTAAAAAACTATCATGCCCCATTTATAAGAAGGGAGATCCTCTTAACTATGAGAACTACCGAAGAATGTCCCTCTTTCTCTCACCTTGTAAGATATTTTCGAGGATCATATCCCAATGTTTATTACCTTTTGTTGAAAAAAAAATAGGCCAATATCAAACTGGCTTTATGAAAAGTAGAGCTATGACAGACTAAATTTGGTGGTGAGAACAATGATGGAGAATATAATATCCAGACCACCATCTTTTTGTGGACTTTCCAGACTGACTATGACTGCATGATTATTCTTCTTCTTTCTCTTCCACCCATCTGCCTCTCAGCGTGGGGGTGCTTCCAGCCATTGGTTTCATGCATCCCTGTTCCCGGCAAGGTTCCACTTCCCTTCCAGGGTCTTCCCTCTTTGTCTTCCAATTTGTTCCAGATGGCTAGCGTATGAAGTTCTTGATGGTCCTCTCAATCTTCTCCCCACTGGCCTCACCTCTATGGTTTTAACTGGGTCTCTGTGGTGGTCCATCCGGCAGAGTTTCCAGCACAGGGCGTATCTTTAGATCCCTGCCTAGGACAAGATCACTGTCTATGTAAAATTCCATTAGTTGCCTTCCATTGTTGTTAATTATTCTGTCGTCTCCATGAGCCCACATTCATGGGCTCTTCTGTAGTCATATCCAGCTCTTGCATTGATATCTCCCATAATAATAACATTTCTACTTTGACTTTTTTCACTTATGCGTTCTAAGTCACTGTAAAATTGTTCTACTTCCATCACACTAGAGTACTTAGTTGGCGCATAGACTTGGACTAGTGTTACTTTTCCCAATCAGAGCATGACATTGGCAGATTTTATTCTGGAGTTTATCATTTCCCAATTCTGAACTTTCTGAAAAACGTCATCCTTAAAAATCAATCGAACTCCTCCCTCCTTTGCTCAGTTACTCGGTGGTACTCCTGAATATAGAAGGGTATATCCCTTGTGTAGCTGCATTTCTCCTGATACTTTCTTTCTAATTTCACTTACTCCAAGGATATAGATTTTGTAGATTTTCACCTCCTCCACGATCTCAATCTCTTTGCCATTGAGAGACATTCCATGTACTGAATCTGATTTCTTTTGACGTACCAGGTCATTTCCGTAAAGACTGTCCATATCTGAGGCTGGTCACAGAATTACTTTGAATCACTATCACTCCTCTACGGGTGATTGGCCCAACAAAGGAGGCCCCATTACCTCAGGACAACTGGTTGTCAGCTATACTCTTGGCATTGAGTCTTCTCCGGAGAAGTGATCGTGATGTGTGTACTGTTAGTGTCCTTATTGTCAGTGAATATGTATAGTGTACTGTTCTGCTGTGTGTTGAACTTAGAAGACTGAGGGATCGTTAATCCCCACTAGTAGAGCATATCTACTAGCCCTTGCAGGGGACAGTGTGATTTAAGAGGAGCTTTATGATGGAATGATCGCTCTTCACATCCCTCCGAAGCTAGTCCGCCTCATCAGAATGACCATGAAGGTTACTTAATGCTCAGTGAGAATGTTCGGAGACACTTCTGAGTTTTTCCGTAGCCACAAGATACTCAGAAAATGTAATTTTTTAGTATACCTGCTGTTTAATATTGTGTTGGAATGTTCCATAAGAGAGTTAGGAATCTAAATAGAAGGCATGATTTTCATAAGGCATGAGGCATGAAAAAATCTTGTCAAATTCTAGCCAATGATGATAATCTGGATGTTATAGGACACAGTGTTCTGAGTGCAGGTTAGTTTATAAAGTTAGTTTGTAGTCTCTGCAATCCTAAAAGAGGAGAATATTTAGGAGAAAGAGTAAAAATTATAGACTTCAACTTATTCATATGTGCAACATGGCTCTACCTATCTTAGAAGTCCAGCCTTTATTAAACCGACAATACCAAGGTCATTTTAGTGGTTCAGAAGCTCAGCGTTTTTCCTCGATCTCCATACACCGTTGATACACATAGGTAGGCTCAATAATCCTTTATTTACCTTGGGACACTTTTAAACCAAACTAATAATAAACAACCAGAGAATCAGAGGTAGATTATGGCAGCTAATTGATGATATCAGAGGCATCTAAAAAGCAAATATCTATAAGACCCTAATCAGGCCCGTTATCACATATTCATCAGAGTACTGAACAATGACGAAAACACTAGAATCATGTTTATTGAGATTCAAAAAAAAATATTTTGAGAAGGATTATTGAGCCTACCTATGTGTATCAACGGTGTATGGAGATTGAGGAAAAACGCTGAGCTTCTGAACCACTAAAATGACCTTGGTATCGTCGGTTTAATAAAGGCTGGACTTCTAAGATGGGTAGAGCCATGTTGCACATAAGAATAATAATGAAGTTTCCAAATTGCTCCTAGAAGAAAAAATATTTGGACGTAGAAGACAGGCAAGGTCTATTGGGTGGCTCAGACTCTTCATTCTTTATTCTTCATTGAGTTGTATTGCCATCGAAGAAGAAGATTTATTAATAATAACAATTTCATTGGCTTCTTTTCAACAAAACATTGCATATCCCAGTCAAAATTCAATGTTCACACTAACCTAGACTCAATAGACTACACTTTCTTTTTCATTTAAACTATAAGTAATTACATATTTACTATTACAAAATATAAATTAGATAATACTATCCGAGTATACTAAAATTATAAGACATTATTAGTTTTTATGATGTACACATTTTTTAGTCAATGTTTTCTGAGATCTTTGGTGGCTGGGTAAATTGCGAAATTTAACCTTTTTTAATTGTTTTTTTTTTTGTCCAAAACTTCCACTGAAGTTCTAAAAAGGCCGCATTATTATATTATGGGCTACGGTTTACACAAAGTAGATCAACTATGTATGAAATTTCATGAAAATCTCATCTTTTAATGTACCCTTTCCTTCATTTTCGGGGTATTTTTAATTTTAGTATATATATTAGCAATTTAAGTGTATGTACATGTTATCATTTTTTATTTCAGACATTACTAGAAAAACTCAACAATTTACTTTGGCCTTCTATATTAGAAAGGAGTAAACAATTGAGTATTGAGTTATTCAAGAAAGGATTTAGCGTTGTTGTATTGGAAGCAGCTATCTTGATTCCAGCTGGATGGCATATGCACTGTCATGAAGTTTGGTCTTGCATCATACCACAAGAAGAAGTATGAACATATGAAAAGTATATTGGTTGTTTTGTCCACAGTATGATATCAACTTAGGTTTAAACATATGGGTTCTTTGTTAACAGTGATGAACTTTTGACTGCTTAGTTTACACTGGCTAAACAAATGACTGGCTAGTTTACATTGACTATATATATGGCTATTTACTTTACAGTGATCTACATAAACAATAAGTAGAATGAAGCACCAACTTAGTAATTTTAAGCATCAGTTTGAATATTTAAACTTTAAGTGTTCATTAAAGCTGAACTGTTTAACAAGTACATTCATCGGCTAGGAATGTAAAAGGCAATAATTATCGCGTCAATTGTCATGTTACATTACATCCAACATTCAATTGTATAATATTGTATTTACATTTTATTTTAATGTATTTTGTTATTTTATGTGGTAGTATAATATTAATTACTAGTTTCAGGAATGGTAATAAAATATCAATTAATTTGGACTAGTTGGTCCGTGTCAAAATTTGCACAGTATATTGTTCAGTGATCAAATGACAAATTAAAATTTAAAAAAAATGCAACATACCATAAGATGGAGAAATCAATTATTAATTTCTGGCTAAATATAATTGACAAAGGAAACAAAAATTAATTTAAAACTTCATTAATGTTTGGAACCAACATGTTTACAAATTTCAATAAGCTTTGTTTTTGTTAATAATTGTCTGATTTCGATGATTTTTTTTTTCCTTATGTATATAATCATGGACATAACCAAGAGAAAAGTGTGTAATTTTTGAGTTATTCACAAATAAAGTTTCTTTTCTTTCCTGCCTGAAGAAGAATCTTCAAAATTGATGGCTTAACCTTTGTAATTTTATGAATAATTAATGATGATATGGCTTACCGACAAAAAATTTATATTGTTTATCAAAATTTTGTTGTTGTTTATATTGTTTATAAAAAAACTTTTGATAAACTATATAAACTCCTCTTCTCTCGGTGATAGGAACCTCAAGTCGGATGAAATGAGACTTGTATTCCATGGCAGCACTACAATTAATGTAAGGTTGTGTGGATGTGAACCTTTTGCCTTGCATTATCTCAAAAATAGTACGTTTTTGGACTTAAAATGCAGAGCCAGATAGTTCCGAAGGAACTACCGGGTCTTGATGTACGCATCAAAATCTTCAAAGCCCAATTTGCCCCTTATCAATCTACAGAATTATCACCATTCCAGTATTGAAGCCTTGCAAAATGTTTCTATCGACTTTCTTTAATATAACGGAGAGTATGATTTGCTAACCTCCCCGTGAAATTCTGAATCCAATGATACCTCATTCATGGCATTTGAGCATGATAAGAGCTTATATTGGGTACAAAACCAATTTCGAGCCTTACTGTAATAATATATGTAAGGGTAGATAAGAGTAACAGTAACAGAATGAGTTTTCAATTATTTAAAAAAAAAAAAGTAAATATTTTTGCTTCTTTTCTTCATTTTTTGTTAGGAAGCTGTTTAAATTACTATGTTGTTGGCAATAAAAACTTCCAATATGTAACAAATTGTGTATTTGCTATAAGTTATTTTAAGTTAACGTTTCAGGATATAATTCCCATTTTCAGAATTTTATTCTTATCTTGCTTTCATTCGTAGTTAATAGCTAGAAAAAAGGTTTATTAAAATGAATATATGTTACAATGTCTGTCAATGTTAATGTAGTTACATATTTGTTATATTTACCTAAGTACCATGTGTGTTCATTTGTCATTATCTAAATTTTTTTTATTATGTATAAAAGTAATATCGGGAGCAACTATATTATGGGACTAATAATTACGTGGTCTGTTAGTTACTCGAGTTTTGTTATTGTCCTTTGTACCTCATCATTTGCTTTTTTTTTTTTTTGATGTTTGTATAAATGTTGGTTATATTGCAGTATTTAATTTTACTATATTTTAATTTTCTTTAAAATGTCTGAATAATGTGTTGTAGTTTACTGTTATTCTGTTTTTTTTTGTGATGTGACTTCGAGTAATTTTCTGTTGTTGTTTTTTGGTTCAGTTGCTATTGTTTGTGGCTTATTAAAATGGAAATTGTGTTGTAGTTTTATACTATGGTATGCTAATGCTATGGATTTTGTTTTTTTGAAATTGGAAATGTGCAGAGATATTCTGGTTTTTAGTTGTTTCGCCAATGTAAATTTTAGGGCAGTTTTGACAGTACAATTTACAAACTACATTTTTCTTATGTATTGAATATATTTTATTTTTTGTGTTGGTAATATATTTGCATAGTTTTTTTATTATTGCACTGTCCAAGTTTTATTTCTGATAAGTCGTAATTTTTAAAAACATCCTTAATTTTGTTTGTAAGTGCAGGCAGGCATGAATGTCATTTTGTAGCAAGTGTTAAAGTTCATTTTGTTTATTTGTGAATTGTTGTATTGATTGTTCTTCTTTGTTGTATTTTTTTCAAAGAATGGGGTAATGAATTGTTCTGTTAGTTTCTTTGTCGTACTGTTTTCTTTTGATATTTTGTGGGTTTCGTGTTTATTGGTTTTGTTATCATTTTGATTTACTGATGTATTTTGTAAGCGTCTGTACCATAATTTGTCGATTAAGTTTGTAGAGTAAAAATTCTCAATTAAAATTTTATAAATTTCTGTTTTTATTTGGGGAATGAAAGATTTGTCAGGTTATTCTATTGCTTTGTGTATTAAGTTTTTGGCTGTGTTAATGATTTGATATTTTGGATGGTTTGAATTAAAATTTATAATTCTATTACTAGTTTTTTATTTTTTGTGCATTTGGTGAGTAGCTGTCCTTCGTCCAAAAATATGTCCATGTCCAGAAATCCGAGTTTGTTATTTATTGATTTTTCTATTGTGAATTTGATTCTTTTGTTGCATTTGTTAAAACATTCTAATATTTCATTTTTCATATTCTTTCCTTATTATTATAAACAGGCCATCTCTGTATTTTTTGATTAATAGAGATTTTTGTCAATTTCGTTGTGATAAGTTTGTTCAAGAAAATACCACTTAGATTAGCCGAAATTATATTTCCCATCCCGACTCCCAGGATTGTTCATAATAATCATTGCTATATTTAAAATAGTTCAAAGATACAATAATCTTCACATAGAAAAAGAGTTGAAAATCTTGAAATACCAACACATATCATAAATTTGCTATTTTTAGGGGAGAATTTTAGTTTCGAATTTCAAAACAAAGATAATGTAATAAATTTAATAATATACCTTGAGAACATATTTGGCGACATACACACCCCAGAAAATCATATAAATGCAACTAGAAACAAAATATGTACACTTATTAATAAATTTATCTCCAACAAACTAAAACAGTATCACCTATCAATATTCAAATAAATAAACCTCTATTAGTCAAAAAATATATAGACGACTTTTTTTTAGTATTAAGAAAAGAGTCGGAAAATGAAATTTTAGAATGTGTTTACCAATACAATAAAAGAATGAATTAAGCCATACAATTGATATTTTATACCCCATTAAATAGTTTTGATTTTTTTAAAAATTGCTGAATTAATTTATTAAATGACTGTTTAATTAAGTTTATATATTTTAACCCATCTGGTATTTAGACTAATTTACTTTAATTTTACAGGCGATAAAGCGTTTGCAAAATAGAAATGGTCTGTCTATAGAAGAAGCCACATCAAGATTACTTTCTCAAACAAGTAATGTTGTACTTGTGAATAATGCTAATGTTGTTTTTTGCACTTTGTGGAGGCCAGAATACACACAGAAGCAAGTTGAAAAGGCTTGGAGTGAACTTCAACAAAGAATATCATGATATATTATTATTTATATTTTGATCTTAGTTTAGCAGTAAACAAATAATTGGTGATTGTTTTGTATATATGTAATGGAAAAATTGTTTTTATTTTTTATGCAGTTGTATTTTAAAACAAAACTTAATTGTTTTCTTTTACTTATAATTGCCCTTTTCTTTTGTCATATTCATTTACCATTTGTATTTACATCTGATAATAAGCTGACCTTACAGGATCATTCGTGAATGAAAGTCCCTAGAATGACAAAGATTGCTGTTGGCCCCTTTGTTCATGATGAACCCATAGCGGGTCACTTATACATTGCATGTTCAATCATTATATCATTACCTACTACAAACTAGTAATGCGCCATATAGGCAGAGCTGTGATTCTGTCACAGTGACTGGGTTAGAGCTGGTGATCACAGTGACAGGCTAAGGTCAATAAAACTACCAGGTTCACTCACTCAGAGGGAAAATGGTGGCGAGGAATCGAGCTCTGACGTAGCCAATGGACTTATTTTACCCCTCTGCCCTTTGTTTTTGGACATTTTAATATTATTATTTACTTTTCTACATTAAATCAATACTGTATTGCCAAATAACTTATTAATTTTAATAGATTTGAAAGGTGAGAGAAAGATTGATTTGATATTTGGTTTATTCTAAAGCATTTTTTCTTTTGATTTTATGTTTTCTTAATTGTAAAAATCTTTAAAAATTTTATTCTAATAAATATCCATTGCTAAAAGAAAGCATTTACCAGTTCTTGATTAATTTCTACATTTTGTTTCCTAAGAAAAAGATTAGTCAATTTTTTTACATTTTAAAAAACAATCTTTCGATCTGTGAGCATCCTTTGGAAAAGTATGAAATGAAATTTTCTTTCCCATCTTCTTTGCATCAATTAGATTATTGTTGTAAATTATTATAACAAATTATTGTAACTGGGCATCTTCTACCTAGCATTCTATAGTTTTTTATTTTTATAGTTAATTTACAGAAAGTTTCAGGTTACTTATATTTAACCATTGAAGTATAAATAAGAAATTCAAATATTCTCTGCAGGGGTGTATACAGAAAACAAGGGATCCCAGAGATATTTTCTCCCATCAAATATAAAATTTATCACTGCAAAAAAAAATCTTTTTTTTATTTCAATATTAGTTTAAACACATAAACTATGATTTCACAGTGAGTTCGGCTATCACTCCTTTAAATATTTCTCACTACTTCAAGATACCCTGTGTATAGGTTTACACATGTAAAAAACTGAATTGCTGACATGGGTCTCTAAGAAAGAACTTTTTACAGCCATAAAAAACAGATTTATCTGTCCTTTTTTTTTCATGTATTACTACTGAACAGTGTATGAAAGAGAAAAAAGCTTTCTTTGAGAAATTAAAGAACATCAAACAAGTGCCTAACCTTAATAATTTGATTAAGTGATAACCACAGTCAATGAACGCTAATTTTTACCAAAATTGTCAAAATCTGAGAAATATTACAATAAATGGCCCTGCAGCTTGTAAATGAGTTCTCTAAGAACCAAAACTCAGAATAATTTCTGAATCCGATCAAATCGAAGAGCAAATAATTGGTATTTTGTCTCGTGAAAACGTTCCCAACAGCAGCTATTAAAAGAAAAAAATAAGACTTCTAATGAGAAGTGACCAGTATTATGAATCGCATGCATTCTTCAAGGAGACTATACTTGCTTAAACTTGCAATTCATCCAGATCTAATGGAACTGAATAAAAACTGGGTCCGGGAGAAAACCAGTATTTTCTTGTTTTCGAATAAAAGGTCGTTCGAAAGAATAAATGAAATTCATATTTTTTTAAAAATAAGTTTTCCTCCATCATGTATTTCACCTGCGAGATATATTTCAATATATATATTGATTTCAGATATATATTGGAGTCAATAGGAAACTGCCACAGGAGCATAACTCTTCGCATCATGGTGGCTCAAAAACTATATTACTCTTTTCTTTGAATAGCTGCTTTTTGGGAATTTTTTTTCCATCATGCAGAGAGAGGTTCGTCCCCTTACAGAATTCGCTAGTGCTCGTCACGATAATATTTTTTATATCTATTACATTAGAAAATTCGTATATGAGGATGAATTTTTCCTATATTCCTCTTTTCATTAAAGGAGATGCTTAAAATATTAGTTTTCGAAAGGAACGTCATTCGGAGGATATTTGGACCAGTTAAGGAAAATGATGAATGGAGAATTAGACGCAATCATGAACTAGCTAACTTATTTAAACTTGGATAGCAAGGCTGAGATCGAAGGGCCAAGTTGTCCCACGTCGGATGGACGAGACTTCAATCCCAAAGAAGCTGCTGTGCACGGAGCCGGTTGGAAAAAGAAAAGTGAACAGACCGAAACTGAGATGGAAAATGGATTAAGTGTTGATGCCAGAATCCATGGAATCAGGAACTGGTGGAGGCTGCTCAGGACAGGGAAACATGGAGGCAGCCAAGATCCAATAATGGATTTTCGAGCTCAAGATAATGATATTGATCACATTAGAAAATTCGTCTTAGAGGATGATTTTCCCTATATTTCTCTTTTCTTTAAATAGCTGTTTTTTAGATACTATTTTTCGGAATTATTTTTCTACCATCAAGAGGGGAGCGCGCCCTCTGGTAGAAATTACTAGTGCTGGTCAGGATAATATATATTTTTTTATATTACATTAGAAATTAGTGTATGAGGATGAATTTCTCCAATATTTCTCTTTTCTTTAATAGCTGCTTTTTGGAACTTTTCCCCAACCATAGAGGGGATCGCCCCTGGCTGAATCCGCTAGTACTGGTCACGATAATAATTTTTTTGCATAACAGAAAATTGGTCTTAGAGGATGAATTTTTGCTATATATCCCTTTTCTTTAAATAGGCGTTTTTTTTTCACCATCCAAGGGAGGACGCGCCCCCTGGCAGAATTCACTAAAGCTGGGCACGATTATAATTTTTTTTTTACATTAGGAAATTCGTGAAGGATAATGAATTTTCCCTATATTTCTCTTTACTTTAAATAGGCGATTTTGTCACTTTTTTGAAAATTTTCCCCCACCCATGGGAGGGCACGCCCTCTGGCAGAATTCGCTAGTGCTGGGCACGATATTAATTTTTTTTTATATCGCATTAGGATATTCATCATATATGAGGATGAATTTTCCCTATATTTCCCTTTTCTTTAAATAGTTGCTTTTTGGAATTGTTTTCCAGCTCTCAAGGGGGGGGGGCGCCACCCTGCTGGATCCGCTAGTGGCCTAGGGTATGTAATTAAAGTTTTACGTGAAACCTAGAAGGACCTTATTGGTGACGGATTGATAAACTTAAATAAATAAAACTGAGAACATTATCAAGCTCCAGAGAACCAAATAATTCTGGAAAAATCGAATAACCTTCCCACAAAGATTGTGGCAGTTGGTCGATCCCGCCATCGTCAGTTGAGGGGAAAAAACAAACAAATAAATTTGAAACTTTGTAAATGGTGTTGATAGCAGTTTTAAGTCGTTAATAACATCAATTTTTTGGCGGCATTTCTGCCCATCTTTTATTATTCGTTTGTCTCAGAATTCGACCGTTGCAAAATGTATATTAAAAGTATTGTACTTGACGGTTTTAAGTCCTATGGTTCTAGAACGGAGATAAACGGATTTGACCAAGAATTTAATGCCATTACTGGTTTAAATGGTACAGGAAAATCTAATATATTAGATTCTATTTGTTTTGTTTTGGGAATAAGTAATTTGACTCATGTAAGTATTTGTGTTACTCATAGTTTTTCATTATTAACCTTTAATGAATATTGTTTGGTATTATTTGTCATACTGTCATGGAAAAATATAAGGATTTAAGGAGCATTAAAAGTGATCTGTCAGGTTCAGTGCTGAAATAGAACTCATTTCGATGTGCCCACGTCTCTGACCTTCCTCAGGTTGATAGAATTCATTATCTCGCTGGTATGTGGAAAGAGCTATGGCAATATACAGCAATGAATTCATTAACTTTCAAACTTCTTGGCAAGCTCATAGTTTTCATGACAGATTACTAATGACATTTGGGTTATTATGAAATAAATAAAATTCTAGTTTTGAATCACAACTTCATTATCACTTTGAGCCTAATGTAAATAGAGCTCTGAAATAACTCGATTGTATCCAAATGTTGATGTAGAAGACGGATTCCTAATCCCTCCTATCAGATTGTTAAATGTTAGGTTAGGCCATTTTGTGTAAAAATAACTGAATCAGCTTATCTAAATGAATATTTTTCATGTTTCTGACTTACTGCAATCAACATCGCATTTACTGTTACTTTATTATGTAGTCTATAATCACAATGCTAGGAATTATATAATTCTCATTCAATTGACCTGCCGCAATCCAAATTAAATTTACATTTTCTCCCAATGTACTTAATTACTTACCGCAGTTAATAATACATGTTATAATTTTATACATTATCTTTAATTGTCTGCATTTGCTGCTATATTGAAGAGGACAACACTTTTTTGAAGTTTTCCTCAGTAATTTGGTTTCAGTGCATATAACTATAAATATTTTGATAGGGCAATATTATATTAGATTGACATTCCCTGGGACTTAACCCACATTGCGCTCTAAGTAATCTTGAAACCATCCAACATGGAGATTTAGAACTAGTACCTTAAAATAAAATGGAAGATTTTTTCTATTAAATCAAAACAATTAAAAACATTGTAGATGGGTTTATTTTCAATGTTGAAAAAACAAAACAATGAGGAACTATTCTCATAAATGTCGTGTTGTTTATTGTAATGAAAAGAATTTCTTTTTATCATTATTATATGAGAAGGAGTTGGTCGGGGAGTGCCGTAAAATAAATACTAAATTTTAAACATTAGTATTTTTAATTATTATGCCGACATTTCGACCCACTTTGCAGGTCTTCATCAGCGCATGTTGACAGTCTTATCAACTCATATTACATCACGGTTGACCATCTCTACACCATTACTATTATTTAGCCAAGTCTAGAATCACAATTTTCAAATTAATAGCTCTTTTTGGTTAGGAGGTAAGGGATAATTATATTTTTAATTGTTCAGCATCCTAGTCTACGAACCTAGGCTTAACTATTACCAATTGAAGTCTAATTTCAGCTGATACGTCTGGACTGTAGTGAAAGTAGCTATAAGCTGTTATGGTTTATGTTTTATCTTATATTTACCACTATTGGGTCTAATTTTTATATCAGACAGTGTATTGCTTGATATCTAAAATAAATTTTAATCACATTTTCTGTTATTCAATGATAATATATTTAAATTGTAATTTTTAACTATATACTTGTTTGAAATATTTGTTAATTTTTTTAAAATTATTTCTGTTGCAGGTAAGAGCAAGCAATTTGACTGATTTGATTTATAAATGTGGACAGGCTGGAGTAACTAAAGCCTCTGTTACTATTGTTTTTGATAACAAAGATACTAGCAAAAGTCCTATAAATTATGAACAATATGAAGAGATCACTGTTACCAGACAAGTAAGATTATTTTATTTTTAGTTTAAACTGTTAAACTGTCTGAAGTTTGGTGTAAGGTGTTAGTGTATCTAACATTAATTTTTACTTTCACTTACCTATGAAATTTATAGTGAAGGTAAGCAAAATAAAAATAATGTAAGTAATTATCGGCAAGTAAAATTTTTGAGTCTGAGTTTTCAACAGAAATACATGTTTTGAGGTCTCCTGAGTCCAAATAACCAAGTCCTGCACAATGGTGTGTGTGTGTGTGTGTGGGTGGGTGTGTGTGTGTGTGTGTGTGTGTGCGTGTGTGATCAGTCTAGCTCAAAAACAAAGTTGTGTGAAAGTGAAATTGCATATTTATGGTTTTTATAAGCTTTCAATGTTACATCAACATTTTGGTCAAAATCTGCTAACCGGAAGTGGTACTTTATATAACCCATTTTTACAATTTTCTCAAAAACGGCTCTAATGATTTTGTTTAAACTCAGTGTATCAGTATATTATTAAGCAGTTTTTAATAGAATGTAGGTTTTATTCTCATTCATGTTCTCTATCAGGGTTTAAATGGCTAATTTTCAATATTGGCTTCCTCTAAAATACCTTTATTTTTTTAATTTAAAATAATTAACCATTTCACAATAATCTTTGATATAAAAAATAGTTAAATATGAAATATTTTGATAATTAACTAAAAAGGAGAAATATGTGATCGTAACGGATAATAGTTGTAATAGAGAAATCAAAAGAATACGAGCTCACCTGAAAGATTACAACAGGCTTTCATATGTAACATGAGCTTCATATAATATGGACTCTGACAGTATTATGTTCATATACTTATGTGGTTTTCATAAATGCTGTCATTGGTATTATTTAATTGTATAGAATGCAACGATATTAAAATTAAAATTTTTATATATAAGGGTATTTAAACAAATAAAAATACCCACAATGAATGGTAAATAAAGTATTGCGTTAATAATTTTTACTTTCGCTTCCCTTTTGTCTGAAAATACTTATTTCTGCCAAGAAGAGGATATTAAGTGAAAGTTGTGTGATGCGTGCATCAGTTTTTTTAATTAGGTGAATTTTATTAGTGGTTTTATGATTTTAATGATAAGAGGTTATCATCAGATTTTATAAATAAAGGTTATATGAAACAATCATGTGTTCATTATGTTTCAATGATATATAAAATTTGTGGTGCAAAACAAATTTGTTGCTTGTCAATAAAATCTCAGGAATAATATTTTAAAAATTGCACCCAATTCATAACAATAAATACTAATAATAGTTGTCATAAATATAGACATTTTGTTGGTTTCAGGTGGGTAATAATTAATTATAATGTTATTTAATTATACACCTTACAATGCAATGAATATAATTCAAGTAAACTATGCTTATTTCGTGTTGGGAATAGGCTGATATACATAAATATCGATCTTCCTTTTTTCTGTTGATATTCGTATAGTTTCACTGGGAATAAATTCTTTATTGCCGATTAAACTTAACAATCAATTGTGATGTCTAGATGATTATTGCTGGAATTAGGCTCTCACCATATGTTAAAAAAAACTCATATTTTTGGAATTTAAAACGCAGGAGTTTGAGGAGGAGATTTGCATTGAAGTTGGTAAAACACAAGTTGACCCACCTCAATCTGTTGACTAACCACCATCAAAGTTTTAAAACCTTTTACTTTATTCAATGACTTATACTACTGTACTATATATCTTAACATTTTTATAAAATGTTAGTCCATTTTTCATGTTTGTTTGACTGAACACTTCAACAAACTTCTCTTCAATTTATCTATGACAGTCAATTATTAATTCACTATTATACTTATTAATGATTAATTGTTACATTGCTGTTGCTCAATAGCTGATCTTACATTGCTTTTAGAATTGAATTTGGCTGAAAGTAGAGCAGTTGTAGACATATAAACAATTTCATATTTTAGCACTTGTTTTAATTGAATATAATTAATTTCTGGAATTAAGCCTGTTGGCATGGTATTGACAATGACATACGATTGTTTTGGTGTGAAAATACTTTTTTTTTCAAATTTTGACACAAATCAATTGCCCCTACCACACTTCCTATTCTTACACATAAATATAAACCTGAAACAAACAATTATAATTTTTATTTGTATTTTATAAAAGACAGTTATAATGATTGATTTCTGTTAACTGAAAGATCTAATTTGGCAATATATACATATTTCAAAATCATTTTCAGATTGTTGTTGCTGGTAAAAACAGGTACATGATAAATGGATCGTCAGTCACTAACAAAGCAGTGAATGATTTTTTTAGTTCTGTGCAGTTGAATGTCAACAATCCTCATTTTCTAATTATGCAGGGGCGAATTACAAAAGTTTTGAACATGAAGCCTCCAGAGGTAAAGCTCTTATTTAAGTAGTTAACCTTAATTTGTATGTTTCTATAAACACTACTTGTAGAGTGAAAATTTAAATTGTCAAGTTAGATAATTGTTAACAATGAAAAGTTAAAAATTGGCTCAAGTTATAGAACTGTCCCAATTATGGGCTCTCAAATGTAACAAATTAGTGAAGGTGTCTATATTATTTTATTTTTGAATTCCTTTTAAATATTTTGGGTATGCATTGACCTCTATGGCCCAGAGGCTCTTACTCATATCCTTAACTATTCCACCTCGAGTTTTAAGTTATATATATATATATATTTTTTTTAAAGCTATATTTAATTACAAATATAAACATATTTTATTGTAAATATTAAGTTATATTATTCAGTTTTAGCATTTCTTATTCTTTCTTCTTATTTTTAATTTGGAAATTGCAATACTTTTAAAATTAAAAGGAAAACATCATCTGTATTATCATTAACAATATCCAACTATCAATTTATCAAGAGAAAATAATTGTTATTTTAGCAGATTATGTTAGCAGACCGATATTCTACCATTTGCCCATTGATAGAAAAATGTTAAAGACACCTGTTTTTGAAACTTAGGAGTTACCTTTCAAACTGTTTTAAGCTTTTCCTATTCTGTTTTTCCCTCTCATTAAACCGCACATTTTTATTTTCTGTTTATTTATAAATAATATTGATTAATTAATAGTCTTTCTTTATATATAATACAATAGTTTTTCGCAGTAATGGTCCCTTTTCTGGCTCTCAGTAATTATGGATATTTATATTAAGAGAGTTAAATGGATGGGACAATGACAAATCATAGTAACATCTCTCCGAAATTACAAGAATAAAAGTTATGAATGAAAAGAAACTATTTGCGAATATCTTTAAAAGTATAAAAATTTTTGAATACTTTATAGTTGACTGTTGTATTATCAATGAAAGAGATGGTCCGGGGTGGCGGTTATAAATAGACTAAATAGTGGCAAAACTATTTTATTAGAAGCCAACGTTTCGACTTGACTTTGCAGGTCTTCTTCAGGGCTAGAACGGACAAGTTACAAAAGGATATAGAGAATTTTGGAAGTATTTAGATAACAAATTATAAACAATGTGAATAAACTTGTTAAAATTATAAACTGTAAGTACATTAAAATATTAAGAACAATAAATTGTATAAACAGAGTGAGCTAAGTAACAAGATTCTAAACGTGGAGTAAATAGATGGTAAAAATTGTTGTAGTATAATATAAAATATAATATATGCAATTGTGAATATACTCCTATAGAGTATATTGTATTTACTCTACAGGAGAGGTTAAGAAGAAAAAGAAAAAGGATATAATATGAAATAATGGACAAAAGGGATGTGGAGAAAGAATAGAAAAAAGAAGAAGAAAAACAAAAAATAAGTAAATAAATTTAGAATAAAAATCGAGACTTACAGGTGTGTTAAGCAAGGAATATGATGTAACTTCCACAATTCTCTATATCCTTCTGTGTCTTGTCTGTTCTAGCCCTGAAGAAGACCTGCAAAGTCGGGTCGAAACGTTGGGTTTTGATAAAATAGTTTTGCCACTATTTAGTCTATTTATGACTGCCACCTCTTATCATCTCCTTCTCTTATAAATTTTTTTCTGTATTAGATCCATGATTATTTGAAAATTTACAAAATTTCCTCCAAAAAAAAAAATTTCAAAATCAGACCTAGATTAATGTACACATGTTTGGGATTATTATTTTGAATGAACTAATGTGATACGACTGCGAAAAAGAAAATTATATTTTCTATCTCATAATACATATCATTAACTTATTTTTATATTATATTGTCCGTTGTTCACTGACCAATATTCTATGCAAATTATTCTCACTGGTCAACAATTGACAGATTATTTTGCTTTTGTCTATTATATGTTCCCTTTCTTAATCTTCCTGGATGTAAACTCTTTCCAAATGTTGATCATTCTTCTAATATTAAACGTAACTCTTATTTATTTCAAATAAAGGAATGTTCTAGTTTTAATGTACTTTTCAATTATTATAATAATTTACAGAATCTTTAAGAGAAATAAAAATTAATTTTCAATAACTATTGGTTTGTATTTTAGATACTATCAATGATTGAAGAAGCTGCTGGTACCAGAATGTACGAAAACAAAAAACATGATGCCCAGAAAACTATTGAAAAAAAGGACGGAAAACTGAGAGAAATTGATGGTGTAAGAAATATATCTTTAGAAATTTTAATATCTTGAAACATTTCAAATTTTAAAACTTTTCTAGTATTTAATTTTTTTGGATGTGTTTTGTTCATACAAATATTTTTACTTTTCTATAAATTATAAAGTTTATAAGTTTCTTTAGTATAATTTGAGCTTTGAAATTGGGAAATTAAACTGTAGTAAATAAATAGGATTACTGATCGAGGTCTTAAAAAAAAAAAAAAAACATCTGCCTTTTGATTCAGTCTTGTTGGTTCATTCAACTACACGCCAAGCCCTTCATTGTGAATCCAGACCATGACTGTTTGAGACTAGAGTCAGAACCAATCAGTATTATGTTGTGAACTATTTTATTAGTTATTTCTGATGATCAGAATAAATTTTATTTTGTTAAGAAGTTGGTCAGGGTTGTGGCCAATATGTAATCCTATATATTATTTCTAAAAGGTGTTTTTTTTTTGTCGGTATACCATAGCTTCGTCAATTCTTCATCAAATCCAATGATTGACCACACATTTTGAAGATTTTCTTCTTCTTCACTTGTGAAAAATAGTCCCATCTCCTCCAAATTTTTGAAAAAAAAGTTATGGAGGAAAAGAAACTTTATTTGCGAATAACTCAAAAAGTATGCATTTTTTTTCTGGATTGTACCCATGATAATTAGAAAGATTACTAAATTACCTACAAAAAAAATAATTGTAAAAATCGATTAGAAATATGTAAAATTTAAACAATTTGTATTTACGGAAAGAGCAAAGTGTGTTGAATTATTTTTTTAAGGAGGAAGAGAGTTGAGATTTGTATTTCGCAGCTCGAAAGACCCTTGAATACGAATTTTCATTGCGATTGAAAAATAATTTTTTTTTTTACTTATTTGACCTAAGGGGGGAGGGAGCCTTTGATATTTTTTCGAAAATCATAAAAAGTGTTACAACTTCAATATTCTTCCACATATTCACACGAAATTTTGCAGGGATATAGGGCTTTATAAACTACACGAAATGACACAAACTGTACCTTCCTAAATAATTTAGAACTTGAATTATGTCTTCTTCTTTAAAGATATTGGATTTAGGAGTAGAATAGTCTACTACATATTTTGCCTGGCTTTTATATTAACTTCATTATTTCTTAAAGACATTTGTTTGTTCATACATTTTATTTTTTATAATTTAGAATATCCTATGATCGGGGCATTATTTTGTCTTTATTACTTTTATTATCTTTTCAGTCAGCATTTAAAAATAGGTTGTAGCAAAGCAATTTGTATAAATATTTTGGTCTATTATGTTTAATAGAATATTGTAATCGACGAAGGAAAAAATATTAATTCCTTCTTTACATAATACATAGGAACTACTTATTTCCAGATATTTTTACTATTTCTTCATTAAACAAAATTTTCTGCAAATTTTTCGCACTGGCCAACTAGTACTATATATTATAATAGTATTTTATTGAATTTAATGATGTTTGATCTACATTGTAGGACTATAAAAGATTAAAGAAAAAAAAAACCTGTACCACTAACAACCCGTGAAGGGTTTTGGGTTCAGTACAATGTGAGGAAGTACTGTTACAAGTCCAACAGTTGTGCTATAAATTAATGATATTAAGTATGATGTTTTTTTTATACAAAAGTAATTTAATGCTAAGCTACATAAGTAACTTCAGGAAACATAACAACCCTTTTAAAAAGTCTTCTAATTTATTTGATTTTTATTGCATTTGACGTATTTTGTCAAGAATGGGTTCTACCATTGTGTTACCAGAGATAAGCTTGACCTCAATGCAAGATTTACCATCTTAAAATTAATTTTAACAAAATAAAAAATGTTTTCATCAAAATTTTTCATTTTAATATATTCAGTTATATAATACACTATTGTTTTTCTGTTTTAGATGGTTACTGAACAGATTAATCCGAAACTACAACGGATGAAAGATGAGAGGAATCAGTACGTTGAATATCAAAGGGTTCTCAAGGAACTGGATCAACATACTAGGTTGTATGTTGCCTGGCAATTTTGTAAAACAGAGGTAATTCAATAAATCACATTGATTTTGTAATATTTAGACTGTTCTCAAGTTTTCATTTATATAGTCTTCAGTTACTCTGATCTGTTCATATTAAGTTAAGGTACTATTTCACCGTCGCGGCCCATGACAGTAACCGCTATTCCACGCTGCCAACGCTGTTGGCGTATATATTTCGCTGAAACTGCTCACTGGGGTTGTTATAGCCTTCAAACATTTCGCTTTATCTTCTAAGAAAAAAAAATGGACATTCTTTCTCTGACTAAGCTTTTTTATTTGAGGATGAAGAAGAAGAAGAGGAAATGGTGTTCATAAGGAGAAGGAATACCAGTATTTCGATGAGATGATCATCATCCAAATGATTAAATCCCTTCTTGGACATTGTTTGCTATTATCTAAATGAACAATCAAAAATTGAGGAACATCCAAAAAAAAAAAAAAGGTGGGCAACGCTATACTAACAACAATAATCCCTCTGATATTAGATATTATTAGTTTGAAAAGTAATAGTAATTAATACATAATTGATTAGTAATAAATATCATATATTTATAATTAAATCACGGCAGACGATGTTTTATTGTTTTATCAATAGTAATCAGTAAATCCCCACTTTAATTAAAAAATACAAATCGATTTTTCAATGAGTGGATTTTAGTATTTACCTGACGTTAAAATTTGTTGGATTCTTTGATTTATTTAATATCGTTTGGATTTTAGGTATATTTGAATTTCGCTGTAATATATTGTTGGTGGAATAAATAAATAATCTTGTTACTTCAACTTTAAAAAAATAATTTACTATTGCATTGTTTAAGTTTTATACAATATTTCTTATAATTTTGCCTGACTTGAAAGAAACATAGGAAATAAAATGTATCAACGTGACTGTTATCATCAAAACAATGCTCCGATATGATAACATAACCTACAACTGCCAAACCGCCAACAGCTCCATTACTTCAGGAGCGGTCATATAGGAGCAGCTTAGATATGATGTCATACCTAGACTGCCGAGCAGCGCCAGCGAAATAATTTCGGTACTTTTAGTCTAAGGGGCCGCTACTGACTGCTATCTGGCAATGTTTATAACCTGAACACTGATAGCTCCCATAACGCAGTGATAAGCCTTCTCCTACTTCACATCTTCGTATTATTGTATTAAATTCGTATTATTGAAAGTGTAAACAGATACAAAAACAAATGTAATGACAACAAAAATACTTTTATTTGACGGCAAATATATTAATTAAATAATAAAAAAACACTTTAAGAAGATATGTACATATCAAACATCATAAGTAAACAACTTAATAAACAATTATCATAACATCATAACAAATTATAATCATAACATCGGCATCATAACAAATTTAAAAGAACATATTTACATAGAAAAGAAAAAATTAAATTAAAGTTAACATCATTCGATGACCTCGTTCACACAATTTCACGTCGGCAAGTACCCCAACATTTTGAAAATACTGAATTGCCTGTTCTTCTGAAGACGGTAAATCCCATATTCTAAGATGATCCATAATATGACGAAAATAAACGAAAAAAAAAAATGAAAAATAAACACCAAGGGGTCACAAACTAAAAAAAAATGTAAAATAAACACAAACGGGCCAAAAACTAAAAATAAACACAAACGGGCCAAAAACTAAAAATAAACACAAACGGGCCAAAAGTAAACAATTTAATAAGTGAACGTAATAAGGGAATAACTGAAAACCAAACAATGCAATAACTCAAAAGTTTGGCGGGATAAGAAGAGGGAGGTTATGTAACATGATGACATGACGTTAGATAAGATAGATAAGAAGTGAGGTTTCAAAACGGCCCCTTAGACTAAAAGTACCATAATTTCCTTTCTATTCTACTAAAGCAGTGGTCAATCGCAAGCAGTCGTGGTGGTGGGCCGCGCCAGCGAAATAGTACCTTTAAATGGAAGTTATAGCATCCTAGCTTAACATATTAGGGATCAACTAAAAAAATATAAGGGGAGAATTGTGTTTCTTCTGAGCTTGAAGATTTATGTTTTGATGGAATTCAGTAAATGCAGGTATAAGGTAAAAATTGTTGGTCTTATTGACATTAAACATCCGGATAGAATCAGCTCTGTTCTATATTTATTTTATCTATAAACAGCTCCTAAGATTTTGTGATTCCAGGCCTACAAATACCCATCTGTTCCATATCTTCTTGCTCATCCCCCCACCTCCATTTGACAGTGTCCAATGAAGGAGAGATTGTCTGATTAGGTTGAGATGAGTCTAAAAAGAATGGTGTCATGATACGTTTTCATGTCCTTATTGACCTACTGAATTAAACTAGTTTTTACTATGACTTGTTATTGCAAATGCTTCCTTTCTTTTCCATAAGCTACGTACTTGAAGGGTTTCCAACTTATTGATTTGTTTACCACACTCATTCATATTGAATATTTATTCATGAAGTGAATTATTTAAATTTATCAAATACGTCATAGGTACTCTTATGACATACATGAACCTACCATTCATAAATCTTAATTAGAGTTATTGATATAGTTGTTTATTTATTTTTTTCTTTTTAAGGATGAAGTTAAAAATAGAAAAAAAGACATGGAATTTACCCAAAATGAATTGAACTCAGTTAAAACAACAATTGCAGAATTGAAAGTAGAAATTGAAAATAAGGGAAAAGAAATTGGCGAATTGCAAGTAAATCGTGATCAGGAATGTGGAGGAAAACTAAAAGAGCTTGAGGGTCATTTGAAAGAGGCTGAACAACTAGAAGCAAAAGCTTCTGCAAAAGTTAAGAGTGCTAAAGAAACCTTATCAGCTGACACAAAACACTTAAAGCAGTTACAGAAAAACATCGATGATGATGCAAAAGCTTTAAACCAAAAAAATGAAGAACTATCAAAAGTCCAGGCCATTTTTGACAATTTACGCGAAGCTGATAAACAAGATGCTGAAGCGCTAGCTGCAGCTCAAAAGAAGTTTCAGGCTGTAAGTTCTGGTCTGTTGGAGAGTGAAGATGGCGAAAATGCTACATTACAAGATCAGCTGATGGGTAAGTCCATATTATATATTTATTCAGTTGTGGACTATGGAAAAAAAAAATCACTTTTGAGACATAAAACATCTCCTTATTTTGCTTAATATAAATTTAGCAGTATATCTAAATTCATTGTTTCTTTTATATTTCAGTCGTAGAACAGCAACTGACTGAAGCTGAAAGAGAAATAAAGAAATGTACTCTACAAATGCAACAAGACAAAAAAGAGTTTGATACTAAAAGACCTTTATTAAAAAAAACTGAGATGACCTTTGCTAAGGATCAGAAAGAATTGGATGAGAAAGAAAGAGAACTGACTTATCTAAGAGTACGTTATAATAATAAATGTTAAAGAGAGTGGTGTGTTTGATTGTTAGATATAAAATCCCTTATTAATATTAGATTATGTTAAAAGTTGTTAATCTGTTTCCATTCATCTAAATTAATTTTAATACTAAGAATGATTTAATTTTTGAAGTGAAAACTTTTTTAGGCATGTTTTGCATTTTTTTTGCGGGGAGTAAATTAGATTGAGCCGTCAGATCTCCAATGTGTAACGCTTGGATAATGTCGGCTGGAGTCGACTAATTGAAGTGCTTTCGGATATGGATTAAAATATCTTCAAAACTAAAAATCAAACTTGCACATAGTTAGTAAGGGGAATTCATCATTTCATCTATCTAATGATCTATTATTCAAAATTGTATCTTAACGCAACGTTAGAGAGACGAAAAGGGGAAAAAAAGTAGTGTCGAAAACCAAATTATAACGAGGTTTATTGAAAACATGGATTAAAATATCGCAGGAACTAGAAATCGGACCTGCATACTGTAAGGGGGAGAAAATGTTTAGCATTTCACCCTGTTTATAGAGCTATATTTATAATTTATATTTCATATTATTAATCTTGCCTATTTGATGTTATCACTTCTATCTTTTGGTCTAAAGCATACACCGTAGCATTTTTTTTTTTTTTTTAATTAACTCAATCACTGTAATTCTTTGATAACATTAGTTTTTCTTTATCCCTACATATACCTTTAAGAATTTACCTTCTTCTTTCAAGGATTAAATTTCAAAGATAGAACATAGAGATAGTTGTAGTTTACTAACATAAAACTAGTTTCCATGTCCATCTCGCCAGTATATTTAAAATATAAAGCATGTTAGGGAAACATTTCATCCTTATAAAGAATTTGTTCTAAATTATATTAATCAATTCAGAATGTTTTATTTACTCTTTTTTCATAGTCGTATTCAATTAAGGATTATGATTGTTAGTGATTTATTAATATTTTTTGTAGCAAAGTCTATCAAAAGTTGATTATCAAGATGGACAACTAGAATCTCTTCAGGAACAATATAGAACAGTTTCAAATGAGTATAGGTATTGCTCAGAAAATTTTAATGAATTCGCCCACAGGTAATTTTTTTTATTTAATACAATACTATAGTTAAAGTTTTATTATAGTTGTACTATTATCTATGTAATATTATTTTTCTTTTAGATGTTCAAGATTGAATTTTCAATACAGAGACCCTGAACCAAACTTCAATCGTAACAAAGTTAAGGGTTTGCTTTGTAAATTATTTTCTGTCAAGCATGAACGATATGCTAGAGCTTTAGAACAAGCTGCCGGAGGAAGGGTAAGACTAAACTTTAAAAAATCAGTTATTTTTAACCATAGCTTCCGTCCTCCTCCATCCTCTCCAAGTGTCCAGTCAGCCTCACCTCTTAAGCCTGACTAATTTAAAGAGATAATTTTCTGAATGATATTTAATAACTTCTGTTTTCTGATCCTACGTTATCAATTATTTTCTTGCAATATTCTCATAATAATATTAGACATATGTCTTATATGGTACGAAACTGTGAAATATTAACTTCACCATTAACCATAGATCAAACTTTAATTCTATTAATTTTCTTAATATTTGATGGATCGTAATGAATAGTTCATTTTCTATTTCATGTGTCTAGTTCATTGGGTTTTTGATCATCTTTGCCTATCCTTATCCTTTCTTCAGCCTATTTAATTCAATTTTTTGTTATTGTTTTGTGTGATCACAATTTAATTTGTTTAAAAATAAAATTTGATAATTTTTTCTTTAATTTTTAATTATTTATAAATTTCAGTTGTATAATGTTGTCGTTGAAAATGAACAAATTTCTGCCAAATTAATTGAAAATGGGAAGTTAATGAAAAGAACTACATTTGTACCCATGAATAAAATACAAGGACAAAGAATGGATCAACAAATCATTCGAAGGGCACAACAAGAAGTGAGTCTTTAAACAGTTGATTCTTTCATCCAAAATATTAATTGTGCTAATGTTATATATATATATATAAAGTTTTAATCATCTGTTAATTGCTAGTTATAGTTTCTACAATATTTCAGGTAATTTCAGACTTATTTACTTGATTTATAATATTATGTATTTGTTATTTTAATTTAAATGAGTTCAACTAATTGTTTATAAAACAATTTGCACATTTCATTTAATAAATTAATAGTGCATATGGTGATTAGGCTTATTTACCTCACTCACAAGGGAAGGTTACACTCAATGGGTCATCAATTTTAATAAAAAATGTTTTGGTTGTTCTGTCCCCAAAAATATTGGTTATGTGTCCCCACGTTCCAACAGCTTTTATATGTTTCAAATATGATTTTTTTTTACTCTTATTATTCTGTATATAAATTTCTGGTATGCCGTATATCACACAACTTATACCCATCATACAAATTAAATAATTACATTTCCTCTCAAATAGGGCTTATTTATATTTAATTATTTAAATTTATTACTATGGCTTAAGTTATTAACTTAATTTTAATCAACCGTTAAACATTATTTGAAATATTTTCAGTGGCATATACATCTCTCACAAAAATGCCATAAAATAGTTTTTAAATAATTCCAGAACAAATTGTTTTTCCTCCATTGCCTAAATTTTCATACTTTATTATTTACCCACTTCTTATTATTACTTATGATCATAGGCTGTTAATTATGTCTAATAAATTATATAGGTACTTCAGAGGAAGCCATTTTGAAACATCAGCATTTAAGCCCTTTCAGGTTTTTTTTTTTTTTTTTTACTCTTATTATTCTGTATATAAAAATTTTGGTGTGCCGTATATCACACAACTTTTACCCATCATCCAAATTAAATAATTACATCTCTGTTCAAATAGGGCTAATTCATATTTAATTATTTAAATTTATTACTATGGCTTAAGTTATTAACTTAATTTTAATCAACCGTTAAACACTATCTGAAATATTTTCAGTGGCATGTACATCCCTCACAAAAATACAATAAAATAGTTTTTAAAGGAAGATGGTCCGGGGTGGCGGTCATAAATAGGCTAAATAGTTTTACCACTATTTAGCCTATTTATGACCGTCACTGTGGACCATTTCCTTCCTTTATAATGCAACGGTCAACTATTAAATATTCAAAATAGTTTTTAAAATATTCCAGAACAAATTGTCTTTCCTCCATTGCCTAAATTTTCATACTTTATTATTTACCCATTTCTTATTATTACTTAATATAAAATATTGGGTATGTGCCCCCATTTTTGTTCCAAAAGACCTTATATGCTTCAAATATGATCTTTTTTTACTCTTATTATTTTGTATATAAAAATTCTGGTGTGCCGTATATCACACAACTTTTACCCATCATCCAAATTAAATAATTACATCTCTGCTCAAATAGGGCTAATTCATATTTAATTATTTAAATTTATTACTATATCTTAAGTTATTAACTTAATTTTAATCAATGGTTAAACATTATTTGAAATATTTTACATCTCTCACAAAAATACAATAAAATAGTTTTTAAATAATTCCAGAACAAATTGTTTTTCATCCATTTGTTAATTCCCTAAATTTTCATACTTAATTATTTACTCATTTCTTATTATTACTTACGATCATGGGCTGTTAATTATGTCTAATAAATTATATAGGTACTTCAGAGGAAGTCATTTTGAAACATCAGCATTTAAGCCCTTTCAGGTTTTTTTTTTTTTTTTTACCTTCTTTCCTCCTAACATATGTATTGTCATCGAAATAAAGGTCTGGTAACCAAGTTTTCTGTGCCACATGTAAATCCAACAAACTCTTTGAGATTATTTCAATAAACCTACCTCATATTTTAAAAATCATTTTATTATTGTATATTGATAAAGCAAGCTTCTTAATCAAATTCATTTAAGGCATGTTCAAGAAAAATTAAAAAATAAGTAAAATTGGTTGTACTAACTAAAAATAAGGATGACTGAACTATAAACAGAATTTTTTAGTTCTGTTTATAATTTTTATACAGATTTTTTTAATTTTGAAAAACAAAAGACAACTATAATTTATTTCCATGTATTTTCCCAATGCGGAATTAAATTTTTCCCTGTGAGAAGGAAGATTTTTATTGCAGCAAAGCTTTCCATGTCTCAATAATTTTCAAATTGTGTTGCTTTCATAGAACTTTTTCAAGAAATTGAAATAAATAGAAATCAAAGTACACTCATGCAACAAATCAATTAATGAAAAGCCAGTTAAAAAACCCTTTCTAGAGGCTATATAAAATTTTCAAGGTTGTTGGAAATTGTTGTGAAGTGGTTTAAAAAATTTTACTTTTTATCTCTTTGAAAATTGGAATTCTAAGATACTGAAAATAAATATGAACTTATTCATTGTTTATTATTATATACTTTAAGTGACTGCATGTTTATCAGATTTATCGATGGGTTAAGCTTATTAAAATGTCTCAAGTGTTAAAAATTTATTTAATTTTTTTTCGGCTCCTAGAGCCCATTAAAATAAATTCAGGTGGCCAATATTTTTGGATATAGATTTTGTTAATAGTCATTTTAAAATTCAATATAATTTTAATTTTGTTTTTATTAAATAATTTTTGCAGGTTGGTGCAGAAAATGTCTTTTTAGCCCAAGACTTGGTCGAGTATAGCAGTGAATATGAAAGTGTGATGGCATGGACATTCGGACAAGTTTTTATTTGTACTACGATTGATGCAGCTGAAAGAATTTCATCAGTAGTACGACGGAAGGCAATATCCCTTGATGGTGATGTTTTTGATCCTAGTGGATTGATTTCTGGAGGTATTTATAAGTATATCCTTTTTTTTTTAATCCTTATTATGAATATGTTAACTTTGGTTGCTACTTTCTATATATTTTTCATTCTTTTATATATAAAAAACTTTTCTATTAATGAACAATAACTTTTCCAGGTGCTGTTGAACGAAGTGAACCTGTACTGGTGACAGTTATAGAATTTAAAAAGGCAGAAAAAACTCTTGCTTTGAAGAAGAAAGAATTGGACGCTCTCAGTGAACAACTTCAGAGATTGGGTCCCATTGCTCAAAAGTAAGGCTAATTGTAGATTTTATGTCATGTTCACTTTTTGATAAGCATTGAATGAGTTTATAAGAAGTCTGGAGGAGACCAAAAATAAATTGGTATTTAAATTATTTACCATTTAAGCTGACTTGATATTATTTTAATAATATTTTATTTTTAGTTATGAACAAATGAAGGAAAGGGTGGTTATACGAGAGCGAGAAGTTGAAATGTTAAGGGCACGCCTGGAACAGACTTCTCACTATCAGCTACAGACTGAAATTAAAGCTCTTGAGGCAGCAATTGGTAATTAATTTTTTTTTTTTTTTTTTTTACGATATAACTTAATAGTAAATAAAATATATTAATTATTTGCATTTTATTTTATTAGATGTAATTTTCATTTTGTTTTGAGCACAGGTTAGGGGACACAACAAGTTGCTATTAAACTTGTTAGTCTATGGTACAGACCCCGTTTTATCAAATTATTAACATCCGCCTAAAACTTCGTGAATAGCTTCATCTCATCATAACCTACAGCTGTTTTATTTACAAAAACTCCTGGAATTGGGGGCGTTTTCAATTCCAAGTTTGTCTATTTAATTGGGTATTAAAAACTCGTATATACTCATTTGCTTTCTACTTGGATCGTAAGATAATTTGAGTACAAAATCGAGAAAAAAGGTGGCCTACAAAAATATAGAGCCGTTTGCCCTAGGCAACCTGGTTATTTCCACATTTTGGGGTGGTAGGTCATGCCAAATGACCCAATATTTTTGTAGGCCATTTTTTTCTCATATTTGTGCTCAAATTATCTTACGATTCAAGTAGAAAGCAAATGGGTATTTATGAGTTTTTAGTACCTAATTGAATAGACAATCTCCAGATTGAAAACACCCCTTTTAATTTTGAAGATTTTCATAAATAAAATAGTTGTAGGTTATGATGAGACGAAGCTATTTACGAAGTTTCAGATGGTTGTCAATAATTTGATAAAAAAGGTTCTGTACAACAGACTATGTATTTATTGTATATTTTTCCATCTATTTGCTTTAAGCTGTTAAGAGCAGCTGATTTACTATTTTTTTTTGTAATTTTTCAATCTTATAGAATTGTATAAGTTTGAATCTAAAACAGTTTTTCAAATTATTGGATACATACTGACTTATTATTAAAGGGATTTTATCATTTTTAAATTATTCAATTTTGTAAATTAATGCTGATAAAATTTTTTTCTTTAAAACATTAAAAGAACCAAAGATTTTTTTAAAACAATTATTTGATGGTTTAATATTAGCATTTAATATTTTTCATAAATAGTTTGTTTAATTTTATGTAATATTGACAAATTAATTACCATTATTTGTACTGTTAGTTTCAGAAAATGATATTTTTGGAACAATATGATTGAATCAAAATTTATTTTATTTATGATAACTGCAATTATCATGGCTTACTATTATGTCTTATTGTTTGTGTTCTTTTCATAATTATGCTGTAATAAATAAAGTTTTATTGATAAAGATGTTCATTTAAGTTTATTATTGTATTAACAAGAATAATTTATAGATAAAAATCAGGCTCTAATCCAAGATTACAAGAAAGAAATTAAGGAAAAGTCTGCTAAGGCATCCGAGCTGAATAATAAAATGAAGAACATTAAATCTGTGAGAGAGAAGGAATTATCAAATGCAGAATCAGAATTAAAAAGGATAAAGAAAAAAGCAGAGGATAGTAGAAATAAATGGAAACAGAGGGAACAGGTGACTTTTTAAGTTATAGTAATATGTTGAGGTTTTACTGTGTTTGTCCTTTATTCTTTCGTTAATTGAAGCTACTCGATTACATTAAAGCTTCTGTTTAGGAATTTGAAACACTGAATTTGGAAATACAAGAATTGGAAAAATCAGTGCAAAATGGAAAGGATCAACTTGCTAAATTTCAAGAAGCGTTTGCTTCTCGTGAAGAAGAACTAAAAGAATTGCAAGAAGAATTGTCTAAACTTCAGGTAATATTTATATTTCGAACTGGTTTGAAATAAATCAGGAAGATTTGATATCATGTTACAAAACTTTAATATTATTCTGAGGGAATTTCTAATCGATAAAGAACTAGTAAAAGTAAAAGAAATTGATAAAAAAAAAAACTACCAAATTCAACCAGTAATGAATACAGTTATTAATAAGAAATTAGTAATTTTTTTGTTTTTAAACTAATTTGTTCATGGAAAATTGTAATATGTTTGATTTATTTTCTTAAATTGTGTATTTTTAAATTATTTTTGTCCCTTTAAAAAGTCGGTATTTCACACATGGTTTTACACTTTCGCCGACGAAATGTACTCTGTTCTTATTTGTAATTTTTTAGTACTTCCAATACAGGTCATATATACTGACAAAGTAACTATGGAATATTGGAAATTGGTATTCCTCAAATATAGTTGACTATTTAGATGATCAGATCTGTACGAATTCTCTTACTAATAATAGATAATTATTACCAAAGTGGAGAACTTAAAACATATTTTTCAGAATTCCAATGTAAAAAGCTAATTAATCATATTATATTATATATAGTAAACAAACCATGAGAGAACTCATAATTAACATCGTAGGCAATACTATAAAATGTAAATCACAAGTTATGTTATAGTTTGTAATCAACATGTTAAAAAACATAGTTTGCCATTTTATATCTTCTAGTCCTTTGGCCATTGTTAATTTATTTGTCGTCCTGATTTTATGTTTTTGTTTTTAGGAAAATGTTAAACAAAGGAAAGGCATGGTTAAAGAGCAAAAGGATGAAATAGCACAGAAGAATTCAGAAATTCAAAATGCTATTTCGGAGAGAGACAAGCTAACCGAGCGAATGAATGGTTTTGATTTAGTTGTTATTTCAGGAGGTCATACAATTGAAAATATTAAGAAGGATATCAGTGAGCTAACCTCTATGGTAATTATTTTTACCAGTATTTATAATGTTGAATAATATTAAAATTATCATTATTATAAGCTAGGATTATCTGATATAATGTATTGCAATCAGATTTTTTTTTTTCTAATGAGTTGTAATGAAGTTAAAATTAAATTGATATTGGTCTAATTTTAGCAAATGATCAAGGCATTTAGACGTATAAGTTTTTATATTAAACGTAGGGTTATGGTTTAGTTTTATTAATTAATGAGAGGAATTAATATATATGTCATTCCCAGAAAGTTATTTTAAAATCTTGTTAAAAAAATTTATCAAATTAGATCTAATGCCATGGTTTTCAAAATCTGAGTGTTTCACAAAAACGCCATGTAATTTTATAATAAATCAATTCAATAATTTTTTTTTTTGCTTTCCTACCTATACTAGGTAAGGAAAGTATTGCGATCGGGTAAAATTTCCTATGCGATTTTCAACGGATCTATACGTTTCAGGGCCTTCTGAGTCCGAAAAACACATTTTCAGCCATTGGTGTGCCTGTCTGTGCCAAGATTATGTTAAGAACTAGTGGATCGATTTTGGTTGGTTCTTTTTTATTTTGTGGGGTTTTAACTACTGATGCCTGTGTCACAAATTGGGTGCTCCATGCGCCATAGCAGCTTCGCAATAAGTGAAAAACATATTTTTATTGGACTGTAGTGCTAAAACGGCTGTAACGATTTTGATGAACCTTTGCTATAATTTTCTAATCAATGTCCTTTCAATTTTTGTACATGTACTAAATTCTCGAGATAATACATGAAAAAAGTTATAAAGAAAAGAAAAATTTTTTGGTGCCTAACGCACTAAGTATGTATTCTATAGTAAAATTTATATTAAAACTTTGAAAAGGTAATTAAATTACCTACAAAAAAAAAAAATCATCGGAATCGAACCGGTATTAGTGATGATACAGTGTATTTTATTTTATACTCATGTTTTAATTTATTACTTTCCTACCTATACTAGGGAAGGTCAAATTTCCGACATGCGGTTTTCAACGGATCAATACGTTTCAAAGTCTCCTGAGTCTGAAAAACACATTTCAGCCATTAATCTGTCTGCCAGTTTTTTGGAAAGGTAACAAAATTCTCTACAAAACAATATAAAAATTGTTTATTTCGGACAACTATTAACAAAGTTACAGCTATTCAATTCGTGTATGGTTCTAAGCGGTAAATGAGTTAAAAAAAGAAAAGTAAGTGAAAGTAAGAAAATCTGTTGCCCACATCACACAAGTTTTCTCTCTACTTTTAACAGAAATTATTGTTTGATGAAATTGGGCTAAGGTAAAAAGTTTTTGATTAAAACCGTTCTAAAGCTTTAGTTTAGTCTAAAGCTTTTACTTGGCTTTAGTTTATCTAAGAAATCGTACTTAAATCTTTTCTTTGATCAATTTTCAGGAAAGTAAATCTAATTCCATTTTTATTTGATTTCTTAATGGACATATTTAAAGATATAAACAATTTTCTGAAATAGGTAGGAAAGTTGTGTGAGTGGACACACCAGATTTCTAATTTTTAAACTCTGTGCCTGTAAAAATGTTTAACTTATTAAATATTTTTCTGCTCGGACTCTAATGTATAATCTGAAAGAAAATTATATTTTTAGTTCTAATTATATTAATAAGCTTGTAACATGAACTTATGGAATTCGTTTTAGCTTAATGACTTGCAAAAGAAACACAAATGGTTAGAAACTGATAGAGAATACTTTGGACAATTCAATGGAAAATATGATTTTAATACTAACGATCCCCAAGCTTCAGGGGCTAAGTTACAAAAATTAAGAGAAGCCAAAGAAAAACTTGGAAAGCATGCGAGTGCCAAATCTTTAGACATTCTTGGAAGTCAAGAGGAACAGGTAGGTTTCTTAACTTAATTTGCAAATTATCATCGAGAAATATGATTACTCAATAAAAGTATCGTCAAACCTTTGGAACATAAAATTTAGGATTAGTTAGATATGTAAAACTTATTATTTTTTAAAAAATTGGTACTGCTGTATTCCCAATCTACTTCATCCCTTAAAATATAAAAATAAATAAGCTTTTGTGATTTTTCTTTGTCATTGAAAAGATCACAAAAACTGTTAACGACAATAGTCAATTAAATCCTGAAATTACTTACACAATAGGTATGCAATAAATACTTCAAAGAAATTGGAAATACTTTTTTTAAAAGTTGACTAGTTTCTCTCTTTTTTAAAAAAATGTTATTTCTGAAATCCTTATTTATTTTTTTCTTTTAGAATAGTCTATTTTTTTTTTTTATTCAAGTAACTCCTCATGCAGTCATCCGGATTCATGATCATAAATTTATAAATTCTTGCACTATATTCAATTTCCAAGGTTCTGCGCTACTTCAAAATTTGCAAAATAAATTATTTTTGTCACTTGGCAAGTTCCAGCACTCTAAATATGCTTATAAAAATTTAACAAGTGCTTCAGGAGCTAAAATATTTGTTTTCCAGTTTCAAGAAGTGATGGACAAGAAGACGATTATTGAAGAAGATCGGTCTAAGATATTGTCAGTCATAGAGGAATTAGATGTAAAGAAAGAAGAGGTCATTCGCAGAGCTTGGGATAAAGTAAATCACGATTTTCATTCTATTCTCAGCTCTCTACTTCCGAGCGCTCAGGCCAAGTTGAAACCAGTTGATGGCAAGGATTTCATGCAAGGTCTCGAGGTAAAATTTGATTATGTATAAATCAATTATGTCATAGTATTAAATGTTATCAGGATGTGGAGTAGCTCAGTAGTAAGGCACTGAACTTCTAGTGCTCAAGGTTCCAGGTTCGAATCCTGGTTCATGGCAGAAAAATTATTTATTCTATTTCATTGATCGTGGGATGACCCTGGGATCGGGAAACCTTCCTGGGGCACACCCAGCCTCTATAAAGTGAGTATCCTTAATTAAATAATTAATTAAGGGGAAAGCCTGGCAGTTAAGCGTAATCTCAGTCGAATCATCTCCTCGCACAAACGTTGACCAACAGTGCTTGCCCTAAATAGTACTGAATCCTAGACCCTCCATGGGTTGTTTTGCTTTTTTTTTTTTAATGTTAGTTATGTTCGCATCTGTTCTCTGTTATATTTTACTGGTACTAAATGTCTGTAGGATAACAAATCTTTAGCATAGCGTATTAATGAAATCGAAGAATAATAGATTAAGGTATAATATTAGAGGATCTTAAGCTTGCTCCCATTACCTTTCTTTGTTATCCTTGGGCTGATTCATATCAGTTGGTTCTGTGAAATGAATTTCCTAAATTAAATGATTGAAACCAAATTTCTAATATTAAAGTGAATTTCTTATTTACCAATTTATCAAATTTACAAAGATTATTTGGAATTAAAAATGAGGGTCTTTTAACTTATGAGTATAACATTTATCACTATAGAAAATTGAAGATTTGGGATGAAAGTGGGAATCATTGAAGTCAGGAGTGGAGTTTATTGTGTACTGGCATTTTAATTTCTTTAGCTACTGTAAATAACATACTAAACCAACAGCTTGTACAAAATAGAAAATAAGATATCATATAGAACATAAATATGATTGTTTAATGTTTAAAGTACTACTACTGGATTATTTAAAAGATATTTAGAAGTCAAATGTTTTATATATACTTTATTTGCAACAGAAAGATGGACACTAAAATAGATAAATGTATGCATTAACAATAACATAATTTATAGAGAAAAAAAGTCTGCTGGGTAATTGTGAAATATATAAGTTCAAATCCGGAGGTATAGGAGAGAAAAAAATTACTAAAAAATAAGAGTAAAAGAAAGAAATGTCTTATTAAAACAGTTGAAGTTTGATGCCATAAAAATTTTTGGAAGTCATTGTAAACTCGAGTGTCAGTAACATTAAACAAGTAATAAAGAAAATAAACAATTTTTTTATAATTACATTAGTCCAGGGGTCTCCAAATGATGGCCCTTGGACCGAACCTCACTACTGCCCGACCCTCTTTCCCTCCTCCCTGCAAGCCCCTTCAATTTGGCTCGCTAAAGTTTCTTTACTAAGATTGTAAAATTATTTAAAAACATAAAATTTAGAAAATTACTCGCACACAAGTTTACTACATGTATTGCATGGGTTTTTCTCCTAAAAAGCTCATTCCACAGTTGAAGTGACATTTATAAAACAAGATTTTTTTTTTCATCACTAGCCATGGCCCGCAGGACTTTAGTGGAGGTCTCAATGTGGCCTGTGGGCCAAAACATTTGGAGACCCCTCCATTAATCATTACTTATTGTAAACTATGCTTTTATAACACAAGGTTCTATATTTTATAACGTTAGCATCTATCATTCATTTACTCTTAAATTAGTATTGATACTGTTATAAACTTTTAATCAGTACTGGACCATTTGTATTTTATATTACATTGTAACTGCCTAGACTACATTTATCTCTGAGCTGAATTGAACCAGCTGTTTTTGAAATAGAAGTATATTGAGGGTCTGAATGTACATAAGCAAAAGTAGTCCATGGGATTTAATGAAATTATAAGCCCAACCTTAAAAATCTCACAGCAGATAACGGATTAAAGTTATTGGTTGATATATCAATTACATGGATTTGACTTTTGATAGACATTGAACCATATTTGTGTGTAAAAATGCTCAATTCTGAGTTATACTTCTTTACATGAATAAAAAAATCTTTCTTGTCTCTTGTAAGGTACTATTTCGCTGAAACTGCTCACTGGGGTTGTTATAACCTGCCTATATCCTTCGAACATTTTGCTTTATCTTCGAAGATAAAAAAATGGACATCCTTTCTCTGACTACTGCTTTTTTATTTGAGGAGGAAGAAGACGAAGTAGAAATGTTGTTCATAAGGAGAAGGGATATCAGTATTTCAATGAGATGCTCATCATCCAAATCATCGAATCCCTTCTTGGACATTGTTTGCTATTGTCTAGATGAACAACCAAAAATTGAGGAACAACCAAAAAAAGAAAAAAGGCGGAAAACGCCATACTAACAACCATAGTCCCTCTGATATTAGATATTATTAGTTTGAAAAGTAATAGTAATTATTACATAATTGATTAGTAATAAACATCATATATTTGTAATTAAATCACAGCAGGTGACGTTTTATCAATAGTAATCAGTAAATCCCCTCTTTAATTAAAAAATAAAAATTGATTTTTCAATGAGTGGATTTTAGTATTTACCTGACGTTAAAATTTGTAGGATTCTTTAGTTTATTTAATATCGTTTGGATTTAGGTATATTTGAATTGCTTTGTAAAATATTGTTGGTGAAATAAATAATCTTGTTACTAAATAACCTTAAAAAAATAATTTACTATTGCATTGTTTAACTTTTAAACAATATTTCTTATAATTTTGCCTGACTTGAAAGAAACATAGGAAATAAAATGTATCAATGTGACTGTTATCATCAAAACAATACTCTGATATGATAACATAACCTACAACCGTCAAGCCGCCAACAGCTCCACTGCTTCAGGAGCGGTCAGATAGGAGCAGCTTAGATATGACGTCATACCTAGACTGCTGAGCAGCGCCAGCGAAATAGGTTCCTTTCTATTCCACTAAAGCAGTGGTCAACCACAAGCAGTCGTGGTCGTGGGCCGCGACAGTGAAATAGTACCTGTAGTGAGAAAGCAAAGCACAAATTGATTATTTTAGTTCATTCATTATTTCTTGTTTGGTATTTGTTAAAAAAAGATACTGAACTGAAAATATTCAGATTTTAATTGTTTTTTTTATTGGACCAGGTGAAAGTTGGCTTTGGAGGAATTTGGAAAGATAGTTTGGACGAACTGAGCGGTGGACAAAGGTCTCTCGTGGCACTTTCTCTTATTCTGGCGATGCTGTTATTTAAACCTGCTCCGCTCTATATTCTAGACGAGGTGGATGCTGCTCTCGATCCATCCCACACTCAAAACATTGGACAAATGTTAAAAGCTCACTTTAAGCAATCTCAGGTAAATTGGTTGTTGTATTCTATTTGCCATTGTAGTTCCGATAATCTTTCAGTACTAGTATACAATTTATTTCTCAAACGTTTTTGAATTGTTTTTTCTTGCTTAGTTTTTAGATATTAGCTATAAGCCTTCATGCAGAATTATATTATTAACCATTTTAGAAAGTTAACACTTGATTTAAATTTTTTTTAATTTCAATGTGAATGAATGAATGAAAACTAATTCATGATTTGTTTTCTCCAGTTTATAGTTGTGTCTTTGAAGGATGGAATGTTTAACAACGCAAATGTCATTTTCCGTACGAGCTTTGTAGATGGAGTGTCTTGTGTCACAAGAACAACGAATACAGGGAAACGATAGTTTTACCTGGAAATTGATTTGTCTGTAAAAAGTTATGTAAACTAAAAATATAAATATTATTATATTTTGTTTTTAAGCTTTAAAAGCTTCTGTAAAGTACAATGGTTTATATTTAATTTTTAACCTTATTTTTTAAAAATAGGATAGTAATATTTATCTGACACACAATGTCAGCTCTTGATGTAAATTAGTATATAATGTAGCTGTATGATGTTATTTAGATTTAGTGAAATATCATGTACTATTTGTTAAATAAAATTATATATTTATTACTAACTTACTTATACTTATACATTTGTTATTCTCTTTGCTTTTTTATTCTTGTTTTTTAAAAAAAAAAGTTGACTTTTATTTTTCAAAATATAAGAAATTTTAAAATGGTTTGTTTAGATAATTTTTTTATTCATAATTTGATTTTTCCTTACAAAAATGTAATACAACTTTCAATTGTGGTCTCAGTATTTCTACAAAAGTTATTCAAAATCTTCAATTTTATATTTATAGTAAAACTAATTTATAAAGGCTTTTTAAATAGCTCTTTAGGTTCATTTCAGACCTATTATGGTAAATTATAACTCCTTTAACTTACATTGTTATTATAAATGAAATTGTTTATAGAGCATTAATTATAAAGTCGGTGCTGGTATAGCAGAGTGGTTAGTGCTCCCTATACTAGCAAAGATCATAGGATCGAATCTCGGCCCTACTTCTCAGTACGGCTGGTCCCTGCGTGAAGTTAAGACCATTACCCTCTTAATTGGGGAGGCCTACCGGTATAATACTTGTGAGAACAGGCTACATAAAAATTAAAAAAAATTATAACGTCATATGCTCTCTATTTTAATATGATGCAAACTACTCCTATGAATTGTCTATTGTAATAATTATCTCTGTTTAGCCATTTCCCATGATGGTTAAATTAACGTGTTTTTTATGAGACCGTTTCTGTGGAACTATTTAATGTATGTAAAGAGATTAAATTCTAATTGAAGTTGTTAAAATGCTCTACAATGTAGTTTATGATAAATATCTTTTGTTTCTTTGATATTTACAGAAGTGTATTATTTAGTGAAAAAATGTGAATTTTGTGGCTCCACTCTACCTTTTTTTGGCATTTTGGAGGTGTGTTTATTTCATATCGGCTTAAAACAAATGATGCAACTTTTATACATACACGTTTCCTCTTTCAACGGCCACCGTTTTGAAATCCCCTCTTTCAATTTAGCAAAAATCAAATGCTGAGGATAGACATTATAAAAGTTTTCTTGAAGTAGGTTACAAATTTTCAACTCAGCTGTTGGAATATAATGAAACAAATCATTAGTCTCTTCCGTCTCATCTCAATTACCAACTACTGTAAATTAGACAGCCAAAGAGGAGACAAGGAACCAGTGTGCTTTAAGGAGTATAGAATCTTTCACATTACATTTCTTTTGATATTTCAGCTGTTTCAGGACAGTCCAAGGATAGCATTGATACTTATAAAAATTGAAAATCAATCTTCATCTTAATTATGAAATAGAAAATGATGAATACTAGTTATAATGATGAACACAACTAATGTTTAATTAACATTAAGTAATCTCGATTTATTTAGAATGCAAGGATTTTATTTTTATTTTTTTTTTAAGCATTTTTATTTCATCTCAAAATCGAAACAGAACTGTTTAGAATTACCATGATTAAAAAAAAAATGAATAATGAACCACTTCAGAAATGCTGGATGGGAGGGGGGAGGGAGAATTACTCTTTTCCAATGATTTTTTCTTAATTTACTTAAATATCAATGTTTATTATTTGAAATATAGCTCAATCGCTCAATTAATAAGGGCGCTTAAGTACTTTGAAATAATATTCGAGATGGTTCCAATATAAAATCAAACCAATAAAAAAAAAAGTGATCATGATTGTGAAAATTAGCCTTCAAAAGCATCCTCTCTAGAAATGCTTTCTTGCAGTTCTCAATATTTTTCTTCACTTAAAAAAAAAAAAAAGAGTGGGATAATGAATTAGCTCATTACCTTTCGTTCTCAGCCTTTTTGCTATACAGGATTTTCTCAGGCCATAGGCCAAAGTTAAAAACCCTCCATCAGCACCGGGACGCGAACTCATAACTATTTTATCATTTTTATTTATTGACTAATATACTATACGAATTATTTGCACAGGCAAATTTTTTTTTTTTTATGACCGAAATATGGAGGGAATGGTTCCCTATTCTCCAATAGGGAACCATTTCCATATATTTTGGAGAGAAGAGGGAAACCTGTGTGACTCTTCTGGAATTTTCTTTTGTAAATCCATATCAGCTACTAGCTCATTTAGGACTTTTTTTCTCGATACTGGTTGATTACTCGGAATCTTTAATTGATTGCATATTACTTCCTTATTAATTCAACAAACAGACATCAAGTCAACATCTTATCAAATTTCGTTTTAGTTACTCACACTGAAATATGCAATAGACCTCTTTGGATGAAGTTTTTTAGTTAATTAAGGAATGGCTAATTTATAACTGCTCCAAAGTTATAAAAACTCCATCACAGTCACCAGATCTTAATGTAATAGAACACCTGTAAGCAAAATTGGAGGTTGAAGTTAGAAAAGACTAAATTTCTAACAAAGAAGACTTTTAAAAAATATCTCCTCGAAATATGAAACAAGCTAAGATCAGAATTCACAAAAAAATTGTTCAACACCATTACAGACTGAAAGAAGTGGCGGAAAACAACGCTTGCTTACAAAATATTGAACTAAATTAATAGTATTTAAAAGTTGAAAAGAAGTGAGGGTGTATCATTTTGACTGTGAGACAAAACTATGCAGTTTTTTACTTTCCTACCTATATTAGGTAAGGAAAGTATCGCGATCAGGTCAAATTTCCGATATGCGGTTTTCGACGGATCTATACGTTTCAGAGCCCCCTGAATCCGGAAAAACACATTTTTAGCCATTGGTCTGTCTGTCTGACTATGCCAAGATTTTCTCGGGAACTACTGAGCCGATTTTGTTGCTTCTTTTTTTATTTTGTAGGGTTTTGACTACTGATGCCTGTGACAGAAATTCGGTGCTCTATGCGCAATAAATGAAAAACATGTTTTCCTATAAACTGTAGCGCGAAAACGGCTCTAACGATTTTGATGAAAGTTTTCTATAATGTTCTAATCATTGTCCTTTCAATTTTTGTATATAAACTAAATTCCCGAAAAAATTCAGGAAAAACAGTTATAAAGAAAAGAAAAATGTTATGGGCACTAACTCTCTAAGTATATATTATACGGTAAAATTTATAATAAAACTTTTGAAAGGTAATTAAATTACCAACTAAATAAAATATAAAATTATCGGAATCGAACCATTATTAGCGATGATATAGTTTATTCTATTTTTTACAAAAATTTTAACTTATTACTTTCCTACCTATACAAGGTAACAAAAGTATTACGATCGGGTCAAATTTCCGATATGCGGTTTTCGACGGATCTATACGTTTCAGAGCCCCCCGAGTCCGAAAAACACTATTTCAGCAAACACTATTTTTTGGAAAGTTAACGAAATTCTTTACAAAATGATATAAAAATCGTTCATTTTGGACAACTATTAACGAAGTTACAGCTAATCAATGAAAGATAACGAGTTCATATCCTAGTGTCAGAAAGGGATGAATGAGAGAATAAAGATGACTAAGTGGAAGTAAGAAAATCTGTTTTTGATCGGCAATATTAATGAGTATTGAAATTTGTACACTGATCTACCTTAAGCCGGTTTACATTGCTTTAGTTTATCAAATAAATCGTACTCAAATCTTTTTTTTGATCAATTTTCAGGAAAATAAATCTAGTTCAATTCTTTTTTATTTCTTCATGAACATATGTAAAGATATAAAAACTTTTCTGAAATAGGTAGGACAGTCGTGGGAGTAATAATAACAGATTTTAATTTCTTTGAGTTTGAACTTATTTAAATTGAGATTTTAAATAAGAGTTTCTGATTTTGTTTGTTCACTGTGACCACTTAAGTTTTATATATTTTTCTACGGAAACATCAAATTTACTGTGAGTCACAGTAAATGCTTTAATCTTATTTTCGGACTGAAGTGGGACCAAATACCACGTTTTGTACATGTAATCTTACTCTAGATATCAGAACATTATAGAAAAAAATATATATTTAGTAAATATCTACAGTATAAGGATAGTATGAAAACAATTTGCTAAGTGTTTTCAAATATATTTTTAATGAGAAACTATTGAAATTTGTATTTCGCGTTGCAAAAAAAAACCTTAAACAAGAATTTTTAGCTCAAAAAATCTTCACGGCTGCTTATTCTGCTTACCACTTGATCCTTTTCTATTTATCGTAATATTGTATTAAAAAGTTATTAACCTAGTATATTCATTCATTCCTATAAACAAAAATATCAACAGACATATCTTTGAGATTATAGCAAACTTGCAATTTCATGAGTGGCAGAAACAGTTGAGTTTGGATTAGACAAAATCGTGGGCGAAGATCAAGAGGGAATTCTTGAAGGTTCAAGAAGATGGAACTGGGCGCGAATGTGAACTATTGTGGATGTCACTAATCGATTAATCGATTTGTGACAGTCTGATAGTCACAAGTCAATATTCGATTGATGGCGATTAGATTGTCCTACAAATAGTGGCTAGCTGCTCCATTATCCACCACTCCATTATTTTTCTTCTCCGCTCCGCTATTCCTTCGCTTCTTAGTTCTATATGTGCCTTACCTGTCCTTCTAACAACTATCGATAGCATAATGTATCGAATAACTAGATCCATTTCAATAACGTACAAACATTGTAGTTTTTAAAGGAAGGAGATGGTCCGGGGTTGCGGTCATAAAAAGGCTAAATAGTGGTAAAACTATCTTATTGAAAGCCAACGTTTCGACTCGACTTTGCAGGTCTTCATCAGGGAGGTGTGTTCCTCTAGGAGTTTCACTTAGAACTTTCTGTATCACAGACGGATCTACGTGGAGGTGGAGGGGAGCTTTCGGGCTGAAGCCCCCCCTCAAAAAATGGAATATGTAACCTTGTTTTGTGGTAAAAAATATTAATATATTATCTTCTAAAGTATTACTGTTCGTGCAATTACTTCAAGAATCACTTTAACACCATTTCATATAAGGAATTAGCATCTTTATTTTTTTTCAAAGTAATTATCATTATATATATATACGAAAAAAACAACCTTTTGGACTCAAGCCCTCCCCAAAATTAAATTCTGGATCCACTAATGTTGTATATGAACCCATTATTTTATTTTTTTCTAAAAATATTAATAAACTTAAATATAGTAACATAATTAATACTAAAAATTATACCAAAAGATACTTAAGGACTAATAATACTAAAAGTAAAGACAAAATTAATAAAGTTAATAATTATTAGTAAAAAATAGAGTAGATAATAATAAATATTATGAAGAAAGTAAGTATAGCAGATAACTCGCACTCACTTGAGTTTCATTCTCAATTAATTTTTCATTATTTCATAACCTGTAGTAACTGAACACATGGTGCTATATATTTCTTTCGATTGGATTGCATTAACTTAAAAACTTTCATTCAATATTCTTGAATATTATTGAAAAAATCATTATTTAAATCTATTCAAAGTAAATACAATTGTTTTCATTTCGATATTGACGTCATATAAAAATAACAGGCAGTGATCATTCTGCTCCATGTCCTACCTTGAAAATGGACGCAAGTCAACTTAGTAGTACGTTCTGGAAGTTAAAATACGTATCGAAAGGATATTAAATGATCTTAAATTGAGTTAAAATTTAATAGAAAGAAACAATAAATGAAAGAGTTTTAATATACCCCGTTCATATTACATTTAGTAGATTTAAGACCGTATATTGCCCAAGTGGGGTTATTTGTCGGTATCTTTTCTGAACAAGGCATCGTAACCTGCGAGCTGCTCGTCCCATAGCTGTCTGGTGAGTTATTATTATTAATTTTTACAATTTATGTTATTTTTGTTTATTTGTTATTAAATAAACAGGTTTTAGTGAGACCTGAGTTTTACTCATCTGATTATAGATTTTCAAAATGGCTGCTTCCAATCAGTTTTATTTCTAAGCTTTTATTATTATTGTTAATTAAAATCATTATAGTTTTAAATCATAGCAATTTTATGCTTATTTAAACACTCCATCTAAAGGATCCGGTCCCATAACACCCAATAGTGTTTTGAAGCTTAGCCTTAATTAATTGTTATTAGTTATGATTTAATAGTTAATTATGCACTTTAGTGTATACATTTTTTATATTAAGTGTAAATAAAGTATGTTGGCCCATACCCACCTGTGATACATGTTCGACCAATTTTCTATATTAAGATGCTATTGTTTACTAATAGCATGACTTATAGTGTTTGTTTAGTAGTTTTTATGCTTATATCCTGTCAATGAGCTTAATAAAAGGTATGTTAATAGTCCAATGGCTCCTAAATGGTGTCAAGCATTGATTTCATAATGAGACAAATGCCTGTTGTTAAACAATTAAGTCATGTAAAGGCATCACATGTTTTTGTCTTGGAAGTATCACACTTAAAACATAAATCAGTAAACTATTTACAGTTGCAATATTTATAAATATGAATAAAATTTTCTCTTCGTCAAAGGAAATAAATAATTTCACACCTTTCTAACTCTTAATACCTTAATTTAAGTGAGATTCTATTAATTTAAAATACTTTTCAGAAATTTGAAATTGATTAAAAATTAAAAGATATTTTGATATTACAGGTAGTTTAAGGAATTACTTTGAAATGTCGATCCCTGATATATTTAAAAGGTGTGTTTAAATTATTTTGGTATATTACTTATGATTATCTGTGGTATCATGCTTAACTGTTTCTATTAATTTTCTTTATTTTCTTTGTAGGGAAAATGCCCAGCTATGATGGAAAAGAACAAAGTAAACCATCTAAACAAGAAAAAATTCAAGATTCGAAGATGGAAAAAAGTGAACGCAAGAAGAAGTATCGTGATTCAGAAAAAAAGCTGAAAAAAAAGAAAAAAAGTTTAAAGGATAATATGAAAAGTAGATCCCATATCAAACCACTTGTTGAGTATTCAGATGTTAGTTCCGAAGAACTGTCTAGTCCAGAAGCTGGTGAAATACAAAGTGAAGATAGTCATAGTGGTCATTTAGATTTTCATCCAAATTTAATTCATGGTAAGCCCTATCCTTTCAGGCGTGTATCCACAGATTCTAGGGATTCTTACACTACTCAATCTCCATCCCATGACTCTAGGAGGCACTGGGAGAACATTGAAATTCAACTTCAAAGGCATAGACTTTCTGGGTCACCATCCTCTTATAGTAGTAGGTCAGTCAAAGAGAAAAAAAAGAAATCTAGCAAAAAACATAGTCCAGGCCATAGAAAAAAGAAGAAGAAAAGGTCTAAAAGTCAAGAAAGAATCAAATCTCCTATTGAGGAAGAACTTTTAAAAAATAGGCCAGAGTTGTTGCTTAAACTTTTGGACACTGAGTGTTATGGTAGATCTTTCCAAAATGATAGATTTTTCAGTGAAGGTGTAAGGACGCCTATTGAATCCAAAAATGGTCCCCCTTGTCCAATACCAATCTCTTCTCCCAATTCTATGTGCTTAGGTGCTATATCCCCTCATACTCCACCGTTGGTTTCTAGAAAAAGATTACCTGTAACACCGGAAGAACCCTTAGAAGAAGGAGAGAGACCTACTAGAAGTCCCACTCCTAAGCAATCTCCTTCACCAAAGCCTGTTGGTAAAGAAGAAATGAAAAAACATAAAAGGCGGTCTGATGATAGACATGGAACTAGCTCAAAGACGAGGTCTTGGAGGTCAAGGTCTCCATCTTCATCCCGTGTCCGGAGAAGATCACATTCTGCTGAAAGGGATGAGCGACGGTAATGTATATATTTATATCATTTTTTAAATATATTACTAATTGTTGGAATAATAACATATTTAATTAGATTGTTCTTTATTGATAATTCTAAAGTATTTAAAACACATCTTTGTATACATATAATCATTCTAATTTGGTATTGGTTGTCTTTTTATTGAAGGTGGAAAGAGAAAGATTCCCCAAGCAGGAGGAGCCATCATGATTCCCCTCATTATAGGAAGAGGAGAAAAGAAAGAGAGAGTAGTAAAGAAAGAAGAAGGGATAGGACTCGAGAAAAACATAAGAAGAGGAGACATCACTCGAGATCAAAATCTAGGAGTCCTATGAGGTAAGAACTACAGATCAATGCAGCTGTCAATTTTAATTTGCTAATAGTAGCCAATATTTAATATCACACCAACTCGACAAAACATATTAGTGTGTTACTTAATGATTGAGTGTCAGCTATTTAGTTGAGTATCAAATACTTAAGATACATTATTTTTAGGCCAATTTTAATACAAAGTTCAATTTCATTAATTTACAGATTTAAATTAAAGCTTGTTCTGTGATGTTTTATAATCAGCTGTAGGCCACACCTGTTTTATTTTCTTTTATAGATATTTTATCTTTTTCACTTGAATATTTCCCTACCTACCTTTTTGTTTTTTTTGTCATTTCTACTCCTGTAAGATGACTTTATGAGTACATTTAAACAAATACAGTATTAAGGAAATTTATTTTTATGTTGAAAACTACATTTAACGTATCAAACATCATTTTGTTAATTCTTATAAAATAATATAAAGAAAGGTGTATATTCCAAAAAGTATTTAACTTAACATTTTACCTATTCAGAATGAACAAGGCTTAACTGAAATCTTTTTTTTTTTTTTTTTTATAAGGCACATGGTATTTTCCGTCCAGTACAGGTTGCTTGTAGATAAGCTGTATTGTCTATTGGTTTGACCTGCTTTTTGGGATTATTGAGGTTTAGTCAGAAATTTATAGTTGTCTCTCTTTTATTTGGGATGTGTGATTCATTGTAGGTTTTCACATTCCATTGTACAATATCTATTTATAAATACCTATTTGAGCCCTGCGTTATCAGACGTGTCCAAATTTTGGAATTATACATTTCTGTTTGAAACACTTAATTGAGTACTTGATAAGTAGATCTAATTAACTGAAAAATATACTAAATTATTTTGAAAAAACGATAGAATCAATCATTAATGATTTTGCAGAAAGCATGTTCAGTTAAACAGCTTTGTACTTATGAAAAATTGTATCAACTCAATGTATTAACAAATAATTAAAATATATATATAGTATTTCAGTATGAGTGATATTTTTAGTTCTTTCTCCATATCATATAAGTATACATCAGTTTTCTCCACAATCTCATTTAGATAAGGCAACTTATAGTACATAGGAAAAACAGTCTTCTCTTAAGTCTACTTCAATATGCTCAAAAGTTTCTCCTTACACTTTATTTATTGCAACTACAAATGATACTTTAACAAGGAGCTTTGTGGCATGGTCAGTCTGAATGACATTCCGAGTGATGATTGACATTATGATTGATTATATTAGGTTAAGATAGATAGATAAATTGCTGGACTGTTCTGATGGATTTCTTGAAATATAATTATCTGAAATTCAAGCATCAGTCAGGAGAATTAGATAGGAGGACTAACTGCAAGTCTTGTACTAGGTCTCACAAACAATGTATATTTCTAATTGCAATTTAAAATAAACAGTTTTTCATAATAAATTCTTCATTAAATCTTTTGTTTTTTTTAAATGATAATAATAATGTTGGTGATTTAAAAAAAAAAAGTGGAAGACTTTTCATTTTATTTAAAGTTACTTTTTTTGATTGAAACCATTCTCGCTAGTTTTAAAACTGATTCCTGAAGGATTGTGTTGGTTCCACTTTACAGTTTTTCAGATTAAATGAGATTTGTGGTTATTGCTCTGTTTCTGAGGTCATAGTGTGGTATTAAATAGCCTTAGCCTTCCTCCGTTAACAGTCAATCTGACCCAAAAAATTAAATTTTTGAATCGGATTGTTAGTTCCTGAAATTAGCATGTTAAAAATAAATACTTTTGTATATATGTAGTGAAACTGATTAATATGAATTATTAATAATTGATTTCTTTTTTTAATGCTGCAGGGTTACTGTACGGTAAGTTTTATTGTATTTATTTTTTTCTTCATATAAACATCCAAAAAGGTGTATAAAAATCCATTTATAAAATTAATGTTTAGTAGTTTTAATCGATACGAACATTTATTAATTTCAGTATGTTTCATGATTTTTATGAAGGTTAGAAACATGAAGTTGGTTTTGAAAAAATTTCATTTAACAACTTTTCATATTTATGGTGTAGTATGTGTACTTTATTGAATAAAACTCTATACATTATACATTATACATTATTACTTTTTTATGCATTTATTACTTGAAAATTAACTCTTAACTTTTTTTTATGTTTGAAGAATTCGGCGATCAGTATCTAGAGGCCACAGTTGGCGTCGATCAAGAACTCCACGAGTATCAAGATCACCAATCACACATCCAAAGTCACCGAATCATAGACGTTCTTCAGTTAAGAGGCATATCAGCAAATCACGTTCAAAATCTCCGGCCACTCTGCGTCGTGTGAGAGCATTCTCTGCAAAAGCTAAAATGAGTGAAACGTCCCTCTTTGCTGAACTTGTTAAGGACAGGAACATGAGGGAATTGGCTATGAAGAGAATTGCCGAACTATCTGAAAAAAAAGAGGAGGACGAATTGCCACCTATGCCTCCTGAACCAGAACCAATTCTTGCTCCTACCATATATTCCGACAACCCTGATGACCTACCACCACTTCCGCCTGAAGAAGAGATTCCTTGTGATGAAATCAATGAAGTTGTGATGGAGATAGCTGAGCCTCCTGAAACCCGGACTCCTCCGTTATTGCCTCCACCACCCATTCCAGAACTTCCTCTACCACCAGATGAATTTGATCTGTCAACAGTACCTCCACCACCTGTTCCTCCTGATCTAGTACCTCTTGACTCCAATAAGCCAAAGCTCTCTAAATTACCACTCCCTCCTGGCATTAATCAAAATGATCTGGAAAGCATCGATTCACCTCCCAGTCGATCACCTAGTCCTCCGAAACCAGTTACACCCATGCCAGCTGCTAAGAAAAGCATCAAGGATCTACCACTTCCACCTGGTGAGTATGAGATTATTCTATGCCATTGGTTTAGATAGTCTGCAATACAGACCCCTTTTTATCAAATTATTAACATCCGTCTAAAACTTTGTCTATGACTTCATCTTATTGTAACCTAATAATATTTTATCTTAAAAAATTCTCACTAGGTTTCTCATTAAATTACTAAAAACTCGTAAATACCCATTTACTTTCCCACTTACTTTCGTAAAAAAAAAGGACCTACAAAAATATTGGGCTGTATATAACCTTATTATTTTGACATATTAGGGGGTCATGCCAAACTGCTCAATATTTTTGTAGGCTACCTTTTTTCTCAATTTTGTGATCTATCTTACTAATCGAATGGGAAGTAAATGGGTTTTATGAGTTTTTAGTACCTGATTAAATATACAAAGTTTGACAATATCCAGATTAAAAACTCTCCAATTCCGAGAATTTTCGTTAACAAAAAAGTTGTACATTACGATGAGATAATGCTATTCAGGAAGTTTTAGGCGGGGATGTTAATGACTTGATAAAATCGGGTCTGTGCCTATAGTATGTTATTACAACTAAGTATATTACTAATTGGCTTTGTTGAATTATAGCTATTTTTGAAACTCTTATTTATTAGAATTTATAAATATGTATGTATAATTATAAATTCAGTCTTATTATTTTGTTTCATAGGTGTTTTGGGAGTAGAAGATTTGACTGGAGAAGATGAAACTACAAGTACACCACCGCAAGGAAATATGAACAAAATGGCCATGTTTAATTTATCTCAACCAACTCATCAAAATGCATCTCCTTTGAGCTTGCCTAAGGTGTGTATTATATATAATATGCTGCCAACTATAGTTATTATAATTATTAAGTACCTAGTCCTGTCATAAATATTGTTACAAGGAAATATATACAGATTTCAACAGAAAAATTAATTTTTTCAAAAACTTTATTAGAAAATAAAATGTACATCTATAGAGAGTAAAACAAAAAAGAAATTACTCAAAATGTTCCCCTTTGGCCTTGACACAGGCATTTAATCTCTGTGGCCATTCATCAATAGCAGTACGCAGCACTTCTTGAGGAAAGCGCTTAACTGCTCAGACCAGAGGTTGTTTGAGGCTTTCCAAGTTAGGGTGTGCTCTTTGTCATGCCGTCCTCTCTAGTTCAGACCAAAGCCGATATTCTAGTGGGTTGAGATCTGGGCTTCCTGAGAGCTATTCCGAGGCAGAGATGAACTCTGGAATGTTCTTTTGAAGCCACTGCTTAGTTGACCTGGTCTTGTGAGCTGGAGAGGATTCTGATGGAAAACCCAATGACTTCCAGCAAACAGAGTATCATTTAGAGGCTTGACAACGGGTTCCAAAATATCGTATTGATAGTTTTTAGCGGCTGTTTTAACTATTTTTTTTTACAAAAATGGAGCTTTGTGGTGCGATCAAAGCAAACTCCCCACCAAATCATCACTGAGGAAGGATGATGACCTCTTTTCACTCTCCCAATGACTTCCTAAGCTTCTTTAGAGCTGTGTGCATACACACGATCATTTTGATGATTAAATTTTTCTTCAATTGTAAAACTGTTCTCATCGCTGAGCAAAATCTATGACGAAGACCATTGGTGTAACGGCCAACGATCACTTTGCATCTATCCACTCTATTTTTTCTAAGAGAGGTGGTTTGCATTTGTCCTGTCATTCTTTGAAATGTGCCTATCCTAAGGTCATTTTTGTTATGCACGACATTGATCTGACAGAGATTCCCATTTCCCGAGACATGATTTATTGTTTTAGAATGGTATTTCTTCTGATTCGAGCAGCCCATGCTCTCACTGCATTTGCTGTTCTCACAGTGCAGGAACGTCTCGGTCGAGGTCTGTCATATACAAATAGTGTCTCATTACATCTATAGTGCAGTATACGAACATACGGCTGATATCTAAAGGTTTCAAAGTGTTAAAAATATCTGATCTACATTTTCTAACTTTGTGTAAGGCGATCACAACTATTTAGTTTCCCTCATCACCCCACTCTATGTTAACTGAGCGAAACAAAAATACAAACTAATTGGGATTATTATCCTGACATGTAAAGAAAATAACCTGATAGAGGTAAGAATTATTTAAATAATATCCAAGGATGTAAACAAAGTTCAACTTTTGTAACAGTATTTATGACAGAACTAGGTATATAGTATTGGCCTGAAATTTGATTTTCTAAGATATATTGCCAATCAAGTTTGGTATTTTTTTCGTGCCTCCCCATACAGTAAGTTCATTAAATCATCCTTTTTTTACTTTCACTTACCTGCATATGCAATATATGGTAAGGAAAAGTATTGCAATCGTGACGATTTTTGAAACTGAGTTTTCAACGGAAATACACATTTTAAGGATCTCCCTGAGCCCAAATAACCAAGTCCCCACATAATGGTCTGTATGTGTTATCCAATCTAGCTCAAAAACACAAAGTCAGACTAAACTGAAAATTCATATTAAGTCAGGTATATGCCTGGGATGTTACAGCTACGTTTTAATTAAAATCAGCTAACGGGACGTTCCACTTTGTCATCGCTTTTCATATTTTTACAATTCCTAAAAAACGGCTCTAACGATTTTGATTAAATTTGTAATATGAGTTTGTCATTAAGTGATCTTTAATATTTGCTAAGTCATATCCACATTGATGTTGCCTCACAGAGCTTAAATGGCCAATGTTCAGTATTTCTTCCTTTAAAGTACCTTTTAATTAGGTTTATTTTAAATAATTAACTGTTTTCCATTGTTATTAATAATAAAAAATCTCAATATAACCTTTGAAAGAATTTGATAATTAAAGAAAGGAGAAAAAATGAAAAATGTTAGTTTAGCTCGAAAATGAATCTCTGAAAATAATAGTCAGAAGGTGTAATATACGTGTAATATATCATTGGAAAGCTGAAAATCTATTTCAAAATTTCATAAACTACATCTCCGATAACACATAATTAGACCCTTATATTAAATAAGTGCTACCAACTTAAACATACCAGAACTCAGTGGCCTAATCTTAAAATAGAGGTCATTTTCAAAAAGTAATGCTTCGGAAACATAAGAATACACCCTTATATCACAAAAATCCGAAAAACTTAATAAATAAGTTGAAACGCAGTGGCGTTATCTTAAAATGGAGGTCGTTTTCAAAATCTACGGCTCCGGAAACATAAGAATACACTCTTATACCGAATAAATCCGAAAAACTTAAATAAGTGGAAACGCAGTGGCGTAATCTTAAAATAGAGATTATTTTCAAAAACTATAATAATAACGTAATACTAGACCCTTATATAGAATAAATCTGAATAGGTACAATAAATCGATATTCAGAAGTTTAACATAAAATCAATAGTGTTTTGAAAACTCTACTTAGGGGAGCATAATAATAGACCTTATTGGAAAGTGGTCATTGTTTCGAAAAATTTTTTAGGAAAATTCGGAACTTGGAAAAGGTTGAATTTGAAATGGAAAAGGATTAATTTGACTTGGAAAAGGTTGAATTTGATTTGGAAAAGGTTGAAATTGACTTGGAAATGCTATATATATTTGTATATATATATATAAAATTTGGGCTGAAGCCCTTCCCCCAAAATTAAATCCTGTATCTGCTAGTGTGTAGCACAAATCGAATTAACATAGAAAATTGTTATATATAGCCTTTAGCGATAAGTATAACCTCAATTAAAGTTATAAGATGTAATCTAAATTACTAATATAATTCCATGAGTGAGCCGATGGCTCATGCTGTATAAACATACATTGTTAAGAGTATAAAAATACTTTAATGGTGGGAAAGTTATTAGTAACTGACTCAGAGATCGGTCTCTTCGTTCTCTTCTGGATAAACCCGGAATCATTCAACTCTCCATAAACAAGTGTGACCGAAGTGATTGTGAACCACGCGTAATCTGTGTGGAACTCATGTGAACTAGTACCATTAAATTATAAATTAGATAGTAGAAATTAAATTTTAGTGTGCTTATAAGTTTTTATCTACATTTTAATTTAAATTTTTTTCTTAAATCTAGTAATGCTTAAATTATTTTGTTTACAGAACGCTTCACGGAGGGGTGTAAGTCGACTAGTGAGGCCTAAAATATTGCACAAGGGTAAAACTAGAACGATACCTCCAGGAAGAACTTGGGGCGAGCGCTGTGTTGACATGTTTGAAGTTATTGCTCATATCGGAGAAGGAACTTATGGTCAGGTGTATAAGGCAAAGGATAGGCAGTCAGGTTAGTCTCAATATGTTATGTTTTAGTTGTTTTTTTTACTAATCTATTTTTGTATGTATTTCATTTTATGATTTATTACAATTTTTCCTAAAATTTAGTTATATTCTTTATTAAACATTTATATTAAACATTAAATTATAAATTTTTATAATTATGTAATGATTGTGTGGAAGTTTATAGACTGTTCTACATATCGTGGGTGATAAATATTCAGGAGGCAGTCATTATAAAGTTTTTATTGGTGCTGACATTTAGTACTTGACGTAGAGTACTTGAATGCCTTCAGTGCTCGAAACACGCCCTGATGATGACCCACATGTTTTGGTTGAAACGTCGACACCAATAAAAACTTTATAATGACTGCTCCCTTTATTTATTTTGAACTTCTTCACATTTATAACATTAAATTATTAAACTAGGTAGGGGTATTTATGCACTTGTGTAAATGCTTAATGTGCTAACCTGCGTAAGCGTTATCAGTTATAGTAAGGCTACGCCAGTACTGTAAACAAAGTTTTGAGTTCTTAATTGACTTACTAATGTTATGATTTATTTTTAAAATGCCAAAGCAAAATGAAGAGTGAATCTTCATGCTAGATTATTTAGTTAAAAATGCTTTCCGGAGTGGAATAGGCAATGATTTTTGTTTAACTCATTATTGAGTCCAGGGAATTTAACTAAAATATATTGCTAAATAAAATAAATAAGGAAATAAGAAGTTAAATAATTTAACAAGAAAAATGTTGAAAAGTAGGTACCTAACAATTTTTTCTGTTTACAATCCTCCTTTACGATTCGGTATATCTTCGAATGCACCAAAAAATTTTTTTCTAATGTGTTCTAAGCTTTGAGTTTGTGTTTTATCAGTCTTTTTCATTTTCACTCTTTGAATATCATGATAATCGATTCATTTAATTTAGGACTGTTTCTATCAATTTATGTATAAATATAAAACTTAAAAGAATCATTTTAGAGATCAAAACGTTGTCCTAAAAATTGAGCAAATCTAATTAAAACCATTATTTAATGAATTTCATAATTAGAAACAAAAAGACAAAGTTATATACTGTGAAGGTTTTGTCTACTTCAAGCATCTAAGCATTGTATAAGAAATCATATACAATTTTCATTTACACCAAAAAAAAAACCTCTTAGGTTCAGTACTGGTTTCTTGATAAAAAGTAGTGCCAGGAGGTGAGGATTTGACCAAGATAATACTCTCAACCTCCAGGTTTTTCCCTTAATTAATTATTTAATTAAGAGAACCCACTTTACAGAGGCTAGGCTAGGTGTGCCCCAGCAGTATCTCCAGATCCCAAGGGTGATACCCCCAAGCTGATACAGAATAAAAATTAACCTGCCATGGCCGAACCTGAACTCAGCTTCCTGTTCCTTTTATTTTAATTTCCAACATATATAAAAAGATTTGAAATTTTTGAAAGGTCAAAAATTTTACCCAATTATAATACTCTACTTTTCTTCAGGTCAACCTTTTTTTTTTTTTTTGTTCTTCCCTACCTCGCCTTTTAGGTTCCGGGTCGCGAACTTTTCACTCTTCTCAAATCTGTTATCTGGTTGTCAGGCAACTCGCGGTGCTGTGCACACGCTTTAGCCCATTCGGCCACCCCCGATATAAATATAAATATAAATATAAATTATTAGATCATTCTTAATTATTTTTACTTCATTTTTTTCTATTAACTGACTAAAGTTTGAAAGTAACTTAAATTTTTTTTTTTATTACTATTTATGTAGTTTGTGTTTATTGTTTATGTATCTCTGAGGCTCCTTAGACCACATTTCTGTCTTTCTGTATTTATTCTAAAGGGACTCGTCCCATAACAAATAATGTATTATTACTTACGTCAGTACTGGTAGGAAAAATATTAATAAGGGAAGAACAGTCGTGTTGTTGATGAAGCCTGATGTTTCTCGAGGTACACTATTAACTGTGTTTATTTATTATCGTCATCACTCAAGGTTATCATTCCACTATGAAGGAATGGTCACCAGATAGTGTTTATATGTAATAAAAAAAATATATATTGAAATTGTTACTATTTTAAGTTAAATATATTTGTTACAAAACATGTATTTTGTTTGTATATATATTTTTCTTTCTTTGCTTTAATATAGAATAATAAAATTTCAATTGGGCTATTAATAGAAAAACTTATAAAGTCATTTGCCTCCATGTCCAAAAATGCATTTATTATTTTCCTGTGCCTTAAAAGACCAAACCAATTCATCATACAACTTTCAAATGAAAAAAAAAAAAAAATGAAAAATCTTTTAAAAATTTGTATTCCATCATTTTTCTCTATTTCTTTTGCAGTAATATTATTAGAAAGGCAACTGTTCCACTTCACCACTCACAAATCCTGCCGATGATTAGGATTAAAAGTACGATATTCTGTTAACTTCACTGTTATTTTAAAATCAGTAACAGTTTAAGTTAATCAGTATTGACTTCCCTAACCGATTCCTAACTACAACACTTGAAATCTCATTTCAAATTTAACAAAACATGTAATATCAACATTTTTTTAATAAATAACATTTTTCTTCAGGTGAACTAGTGGCATTGAAAAAAGTTCGATTAGAAAATGAAAAAGAGGGTTTCCCTATCACTGCAGTCAGGGAGATTAAAATTCTTCGACAGCTGAACCATAAAAATATTGTTAATTTGAGAGAGATAGTCACAGACAAGCAAGATGCACTCGACTTCAGGAAAGTAAGTACTATTGTAGATTAGGTTATATGTCCATGTTCTTAACAGACATTTTTATAAATAACTAGCATACTCCAATGGGAACTCTCACGTTAGGTAGCTATCCTTATCCCTAATTCATTTGATGTATAAGCGAAAAGTTTGTATATAAAATATAATATTATCAAGATAGTCTATTCAACATAACTCCATTAGTGAAACTTCATTCTTTAAAATGACTTTTAAAGTAACAATTTACTTAATACTGCAAAGGTTAAGTTAGAGTCACATGGAAGGTCGCTACGGATCTGAGATTCACTTCACTAAATCAATTTGTTAATCAAAAACACCAACGAATTTCTCATTTTACTGAAATAAAAATATTTAAGATGAGTTTTAAATATATATATTGATTAAAAAACACAGTTACATGATTTAAAAAATATATTAAAAATCAAAACGAAAAATACACTGACAAAATTAGTAACTTGAACATTAAATTCTGTATACCGCTAAATATGAAAAAAAAAAATCACTGAATACAAGGAGCAATGTTAGTAGGATTAAAGATTAATTAACACAAACATCATCACAACATAAACATTAGCCTCTAAAGGCTTCCAATTTCTCATCGATAGTCACAGTCGATAGCCTTCCAGGCGGTGCACCTCTTCTTTCCAAAGAGAAATGACTTGGGCCTATAATGGATTTCCATTTTGAAATGTAATCTTTGAAATGAGGATAGTTTGCCGCACATGAGCTGAGGGAAATCTTTCTCAGTCAAAACGTAGAGACTGGTTTCCCTCAGCAGTTTTGCTCTCTGTGCCTCATAGGCAGTACATGTTACGACAATGTGCTCGGCAGTCTCTGGAACTCCGCAACTGGGGCACAAGGGGTCGATATTTTTCGAAAAGCTTTGCTCGTAAGCCCCCGTGTCCAGTGAGTAGTAGGGACACCCAGTAACCAGGTTTCACCCATTTTGCTGCTAACCAGGAACCGATGGTGGGAAATATTTTCTCAGGGGGGAGTTGTTACCTATCGCTGGTTCCATTCGTCAAGGGTGTACTCTTGTATCATCTTTTTCCATCTTCCTGGTTAGGTGCTAAGACCACCAGTCCGTTTTTACACACCTCCCTCCACTGATTGCCGTCTTAATCCAGCCCAGCCAGATCAGCCTTAACACAATCTTCCCACTGCTTCGGTCTACTCCTCAGATGTCTAACATTCAACACAGCACATATTAACCTTCTAGGATTTTTTTCATTACCAAGATCAACAATTTTACAGCCTTAACAGCATCCTTCTTTGGTCCGAACAATCTATGCAATATTTTATTTTCAAAAATCTTAAGACATTGTTCATCCCTTAATACAAATGGCCACGTTTCGCATTAATAAAGAATCATAGATAGGATAATGGTTTTGTAATTTTTAATTTTTAAGTTTCGGAACAGGAGGTCCGAGCTATGTAGCTCTAGAAGAATCCCATCATCAGCCTAACCTTAATTTCCTCTTCAATTTTTTTTTCTTGTTATCGTAGAACCACGATACTTAAACTTTTCTACTTGTTCATAACGTATATTGCCTTCTATATTGCTACCAACTAAATTGTCGCCATTTTTGAAGCTAACCATCTTATCCTTATTTATTTCGAGCCACAGTTCTTTACCGGCTTTCATTTTCGTTGTTGTATTTAGTTTTTATAGTTTCCACGTCTTCACTTAACAGGATCAAATCATCAGCTTAACCAAGCATTGTTATTAAGGTATTGTTCCACCCAAATTCAAACTTTTTTTTTTGTATGCATTACGTCCCTAATGGCGTGTTCTACTAATGCTAAATTAAACAGGCAGGTGAGAGAGTAGAGATTAGCTCGTCCCATTTGAAAATCTCTAGTTTAATAGTTAAGTAAGCAACAATATACACAGCTATATTATATTCTACCCTGAAGTTATACTAATTCATTATTATAATTGCTCAAGACTTATTTGTTTGATGCAGAAAAGATCTGATTTGTAATTCTTTAGCTTATTGAGATTACATTATAAAAATTACAACTGAATATTTTTTATAATTATTATAAATTTCATTCTACATTATTCCAAGTAATAGAATTATTCTCCTCCATTTACTTTTTCAATGAATTTTTAGTTTGTCGAATACTATTTTAATTCGTATATTAATCATATTTTAATTTTGAAAAACCTGAACATATGATAAGTATTGCTGGGCAACCATTGCACCTAAGATGTTTTTGCAAATCTTACTATTTATCTCGAAAATGGTGTATATAGGACTTCTTAGTCCGTAAGGACCTTCTGCAAAACGCTGCAGTCTTTTCCCACAGCTAAATGGTCCTTTGGAAAAGACACTAGTGTGTTCCCTATCCCTTCCTATTCCAGAGCAGAGGCTCATATGTGAGAGTTATGGAAATTGACTTTTTCTATTCCAATGAGTGACAGTTGCAATCAGTACCCTTTTAACTTTAAAATGATATATTTTATTTTTAATCAGACTTAGAGTGATTAACAGTCCGGATGTTGTCATTTTAAGACTTTTTTTCTGAAATACTTTATGCCCAGGTACATAAATATTTCTTTAAACATATTTATACTGTAATAATTCACAAAAAAACTTCTGAATTATTGAAGGAAGTTAGTTAACTATGCTAGATATCATGGGCGGTGAATAGTCAGACTTTAAAATTTTTATTGTTGCTGACGTTTCAACCCAAGCTTGTGGGTCATCATCAATCATGTTACCAGCACTGATGATGACCCACAAGCTTGGATTGAAACGTCAGCAACAATAAAAATTTTAAAGTCTGACTATTCACCGCCCATGATATCTAGCATAGTTGACTAACTTCCTTCAATAATTCAGAAGTTTTTTTGTGAATTATTACAGTATAAATATGTTTAAAGAAATATGTATGTACCTGGGCATAAGTTATTGTCAGAAAATGAAGCATGTAGTACCGAAAGTGTTTAAAAAGGAGTTTAAAAAATGGTTCCTAGTAACTATACTGAGTTTTGATGTCCATATCAAAATCCTAATTACAATTTATCCTGTCTCAATCTGTCGGCTTTTGAAACTATCGAAGCTTTGAATGAAACTTCCCCATTTTGTCTATGATTTTTATTGTAATTGTAGTAAAGTGCTACATTTTGAATGACCTGAATGAATGAACAGCAATTGAATGACCTATTTATTATGGATTTTACGACTATTAGTTGTTAAAACTGTTATTTTCCATTGCAAAGTTTACTAAAATAGGTCAAAAGTTGTCACACTAATTGTGAGTGGAAACTGTTGGGATATCACTAAGGGAAAATTCATCAAAATATTCACTAATTTTATTTTCTCAAAGCTTACATAATGATTTTTCATAATAAACGGATGATATATACCTAATTATTTAAATACAATATCAGATCTAGAGTTATTTGAGAACCCTAACAAAATACAGTAAATATATTTAAGGTTATAAACTATTTTTATATTTCACTTCTTCTTTCACACAAGCATAATGAAATAGTATCCTGAACAGTGTCATTTCCTTGATTTAGAGAAGTTTAAATATTGTTTCAAACTTAAAAAAAAAAAATTAAAAGTTTAGTAAGAAAATTTCATTTAATTTCTTTGGAAATGTGATTTACGTTAAATAATGTTAGTTTTCAGAAATTATTATTTATATTTTTTTTTCACTCTCATATATAGGTAAGTGAAAGTAAAAGTATGTACTTAAACTTTACATTTTGATTTATACCGAATATTGGCATTTAATCAGTCTGAGGCATAGGCATTTAATTTATTTCTTCAGCAGCCTATTAGATTATTTTATGACCAACACAAAAATAGGTTTTGTTATAGAAGATTTTTCTAAATAATGTAATTTAGTTTTTAATGCAATGCATGCTATTGATTTTTTTTTAAATTTGTTTTATTACATTGTTGATAAATATTATAAACTTATTACACCATCATTCTCACAGGATGTTTATGTAAATTTAGGACAAAGGATCTTTCTACCTTGTATTTGAATATATGGATCATGATTTGATGGGGCTATTGGAGTCAGGCATGGTCGAATTTGATGAATTCCATAATGCCAGCATCATGAGGCAACTTCTCGAAGGTCTAAATTATTGCCACAAGAAGAACTTCCTTCACCGGGACATAAAGTGTTCAAACATTTTAATGAATAACAGGTTTGTTGTTGGTATTTATTTCACGATACAATATTTTATTGTATCTTAAGTATGTATTGAATAAAAAATGTTGAAATTTTAACTGATTCATCTTACTTCCGTACTCATGTTAAGCAGGGGAAGTATGTAATTGGTAAAAAATTTGTTCTTTTTGTGGTCTTAGCTATTAAACATTTTAGAATTGCTCAGGTTCAAATAACTAATTTTTAATAAATGCTGTTCTGTTATCTTTGTTATCTTATGGTTTTTAGGGGTGAAGTCAAGCTTGCTGATTTTGGTCTTGCACGATTATATAACGCAGAAGATCGGCAACGACCTTATACTAATAAAGTCATTACATTATGGTATCGACCTCCTGAATTACTTCTTGGAGAAGAAAGGTATGGGCCTGCGATTGACGTATGGTCTTGTGGATGCATATTGGGGGAGCTGTTCCTAAAGAAACCTCTTTTTCAGGTATTATTGTACTTCGTAAATATCTGGGCTATTTATTTATTCCTTTTTATGTGTTTTCATAGTATATTGCTTTTAAATTTATGAATTAATATTGTATTGCCTTATCAATTAAAAAAATTATCTAAAATATATAATAAAATATTTTCCCAGGGATTCACTGAGTTTATCAGTCATGTTAGTTTCTAGTAGCCAACAGTAACTAATTGGAATAAAGGCATAGATTTATTTATTTGCAAAGGTTCAATCGGGGGACCCTCTAGCTTACTAGGTCTCTATAAAGTGGGAGCATGATTTTTATGATTAATTATAATTCCTTACAAAGTACTGAAACCATGAGATCCTTCATGGGTTGTAATGATACAGGTTATTGTATAAACTTATGTTTATTTGTTTTCATGGAATAATGTTTTTGTTTTGTTTTGTTAGCAAGCAAACGAGATGATGCAATTGGAAATAATTTCAAGGCTCTGCGGAACGCCTACTCCAGCCGCTTGGCCATCAGTTACTGAGCTGCCATATTGGCATTTGTTAAAGGCTAAGAAAGTTCATCGACGGCGGCTTAGAGAGGAGTTCATATTCATGCCCTCCTCAGCATTGGATCTATTAGATAAAATGCTCGAACTTGATCCTAACAAGAGGATTACTGCTGAAGCCGCTCTTAAATCAACTTGGCTTAAAAATATCATTCCTGAAAAGTAAGTTATCATCGATAATATCATTGGGTCGGAGGTGTAAAATTAACGCAATTGCAATTTTTATTTTTATCTGTTCCTTGACCAAATCAAAGCTTCAGTATTGAAGGGTGTATTTATAATAATGTTTTATTATAATGTTATAGTATTGGTGTTGCTTTTTTGAAGTTGTACCTTTTCTCCCTATTGCTACTGTGTGTGTATTGATTGATTGCTTATTTTAAAAATAATCTTCTATATTTATTGTAATTTTAAAAATATTTTGATTGCTATTTATCTCTTAAAATAATGTTTAAATATTTCCACAGTATTAAGTTTATATTAAATTTACAAGCATTGTTTTATAACATATTTACACTTTTTTCTATCAGGATGATGCCTCCGCAATTGCCAACGTGGCAGGATTGTCATGAACTTTGGAGTAAAAAACAGAGACGGCAAATGAAAGAACAAGCTGAAATACAGCAAGCTATGAACAGGTCTCACAGGGAAGATACGGAAAATGCTGGCGGGTTAGTAATTCATTTATTTATTAATATCATTAATCACTATGTAATATTATGCCAAAGGTTTTGTCTTAATAATCATTTAATGTTTAATTTCAGAAGTAATTATGAAAATAAAATCCATGGAATTATTAGTAATAATACTCCAATAATATCTCAATAATGAAAAATCTAAGTGACTTGGTGACTCTCTTTACTTAAAATTTACCATTTTCAACTTAAGGTCTTTACAAACAGAATATAAAATAAATATATTGGTTTTGTCATTGTTTGCCTTCAGCCCATGAGAAGTATTTTGTGTTTTTTGGCCACAGTTTGGAAAGATCATTGTATACAATGACCTAATGTTCTGGTATGTTAATGAAACCAATTTAATCTCTTTAACTTAATTATGTATAGTTTGAAGGAAATTCTTCTTATTTGACAAGATAATTTGTCCAAATTACTTATTTATACAGATTTAAACTTATGCATTGGGCTGAACTGTAACATAATTTCATATAATCTGCATTTTAGTGCATTGTTGTTTATTCTGACAATATTACTTCCATGCTCTGAAAAAGGCATTTTCTGAGATGTTCTTATGCTTTCGATTCAATCTCATCTATATGTTGTTTATTTCAAGTGGAAGAAAATTATTATGTATATTTTTGATATTGCTTTTTCTATCTGGGGCAGATATTTCTACGACTCTGGTGGATTAAGTTTGGAAACTGTCCTTAAGTAGTTAAAAAGTGGTATGAATTTTATTATCATCGGTCTTTCTATTGATTAGAGCGCTTGTCATTATTGATTTTCAACAAAACCTTATTTTTTTCACTTATCCAGGAAATAAAAAGATTAATAAATTACTGGATTTAATTTATGATATTAAAATATAGAATATATTGTTAGTTTATTGTAAAAAGCCATTAAGTGACATTTCCTAATCTTAAATGTGAATTTTGAAATGAAATTAACTTTAAAATGAAATGAAATGAAAATATATTTTATTATTCTGATACCTGTTGTCCTTATAGAGAAATTATAGGTGCAGAATGCATGTCTGTGCGGTCATAGATAAATTAAATATTTACAATAATAGTTAATTAAAACTAAAAAATACAATAGGAAAAAAATAATAATATGGAATCACATGGTCATTGTTGATACTTATGTTTTGAATAATGTAACTAACTGAATTACAGCAAGTTGTTTTGGGTTGCATTCTAATGTATAACATGCAACACCAATCAAGAAGTATATTCTGTTATAAGACATCCGCAGGTTTAAAGTTAATAGTTGTTTTTGTTAAAAGTCTGTTTTTTATTTTTTCTTAAAGGTGTTTCATTCAATATATTCACTTTTCTGTATCAGATCATTTTCTGTAATGATTACATTTTTTATGAAATAATCTGGCCATTTGAAATTGTATGTCTTGTTTAGTAACCTTCAACTGGTACATCTTAAGATTATTAGTTGTTGTTTTTTCCTGAAAATAATGGACTTCACCACTGTATGGAAGGTGAAGGTTATTAGAGGGGACAAGGATGCATTTTATTTCCGTTTCTTTACTCTTGGAACATGATGATCTGGGTTTCTGTTTGATGCCGTTGGATCAAATGAGCTGAAATTCTGTATGAAAGATTGTTTTCTTGGTATATTTAGGATTTAGAAAGCTAATAACATATTACCAGTTATGCAACTCTAGTGGAAAAAGAAAAGGGGCAGAACTGTAAAATTACATATCTTTATGCCGTCTACTGATCTACCCTTCTTTATGGAAATGAGAACTGGATGCTACCGGATAGGCACTGGAGTAGATCTTACAGCCATGGAGTGTCAGATGCAAGTGATAGACAAGAAGAGACAAGAGACAAAAAGAGAGTTAGAAATGAATGATTATGGAGGGGACATCTGGGAGTACCTGCTATAAGGAACACATTCGAAAAGAAGTTACGGGGAAGGTTTGGTCATACGTGCCAACCCGAATGGATCCAAAAAGTTTTTTTAAGTCAAGCCTATCGGATGCCCTCCTCAAGCAATGACCTAGATTGGTATGGATGGACCTCATCTTTAGGATCGACCAAAAGAAATTTATAAATATCATGAAACACTTGTTCAGGATCGGGATGCTAGGATGCTATGAAGGAAGGGGACAAAGAATTTTTATTTCTGCTTCCTTAGCATAATGTTGGATTAAATTCGGAAAGAAATTATAAAATTTTATTAAATTTCCTCAGGTGAGCATTATTGAAACGATTTAATAACTTTTCATCTGTGTTCTAAACAAAAATGAGGGAAAATGAGATCTGAGTGGCGGGGCCCCTGCTGCTCATGGAATATCAAAATCATTGTCCTATTATGACTAGTCCTCACTTTCCTGTCCTATTTGACGTATTTTCTTCTTCACAAGTTTAGATACATTTATTTCTTTATTATTTTTGATTTTAATTATATTTATTTTATTTTATTTGTTTTATTTATTTTTATTATAATTTTAATTAAACTATAGTCCTTCCTATTAAGTAGATGTATTTATTCCAGATCACCTAACAAGCCAAGAATAGAGCGCCCATATAATGATCTCAGGTATTTAATTTTTTTTTTTTTTTTTTGTTTGTTTTTAAATATTTTTTTGTTTATCGTTTATGGCTTATTTATTTTCATTCATGAACTTTTTTGTTTGTATATTTTTTTTTATTTAGTGAATATTTCACCTTAGCCTGCTTTATTTAATGGGCACTGTTATTTAATATTAATGGGTCACAATGAAAACACTATCAATATAATTTGTTAAATGGAATTTCAATTAACCTTTTTTTAGCTTTTACTACTTACTTAATTAAACTTCAATGATTACTATTAGTATATAATTTTCTTACAAAAATATGACTCTGGTAGTAGGAAATATGACTTGAAAATCAACTATTGCATTTCATGTAACAATGGTATTGTATCTGTTGGTTTCTTTTTGAATTTTTCTGTTTTTATTACCTAATTTTATATTCAGTTTAGAGAAATGATTTATTTAGTTCTATTATAAATTATTTTCCAGCTCTTCGAAAGCTTTGAAAATGGAAGCTGCTGGTTTAAACCCTCGTCGTGGATACCGGCCACCAGTTGATTCGCCAGCAACACCTCCTCCTAAATCAAACAGTAACCCTACTATGAAGGTTAACACTCCCCCTGAAGATCCAGCTTCTAGACAGCTCAGTACTATAGCTCATGCGATAGTCTCTGGGCATCCCGTCAGAGCTCACCAGTTGCTGTCTCTGCATGCCGAAAAAGAGGTAATTTATATTTATTATTTCAATAATTATGTTTTGTCTCTTTTTTTTTCTTAAGGTGCAGTTGATAAATATTTTTAAACTGATATGTTAATAAAATATGTATATTTAAATAATATAAAAATAAATGAAATTAGTTTTCTTATTCTTACCATGATGCATTTACACATATGAAAATTAAAAAAAGAAACAAATAAAAGGACATTGCAATGGTATGATGCCTTTTGGTTAGGTAGTTTTGAGCAACAACAGTAACAGCTAATATATTTAACAATTTATTGATTATTGTTATTAACTAGTTGAAATTTAAATTATTATTTTAGAATACAGAGGCCTTATTATTACTTAGCAGAGGCCATGTATGTATCTTTGATTTTATTTATGTACTTACCCTCGTCTTTTATTTATATTTTAAGGTTACATGACTCCGTAATTTCATTATTTCTTGACTTGTCATTTTGTACCAGAAAAATGTCACTTCTATTGTTCATTTTCATTATTCATACAGGATTAAAGGTCTCCAAATAAAATTTACTTTTCTCTTTAAAAAAAGGAATAAAAAATTAAAAAGAATATACGAACACTGTTGCAAGGTTGTGAGAATTGTTTTTGAATTGAAAACCAACAAAGAGGACGGGATGGCTGAGTACGTTGGGGCGTGGGTCCCAGAGTGCTCAGTCCTCAACATTGTGGGTTCGATTCCAAACTGGGTCGGCTAATTTTCATTTCTCGGTTGCCCTGGGAAATGAATCTTGACATTCCTACTCTGGTAAGTACGCGGCGGCAACCTGGCGGTCGCCAGTGGTTGGCAAGAAGGATGGCGATAGGGCCCACTTGCCAGACTAGTTTCCTCCACCAGCAGCAGTATCAGTAAATTAACAAATGTGTATAATCTGACAGCCAAGAGTGAACTGTATTTGATTTTTGATTGTCTTGAGTTTGCATCTTTTTATTGAACTGTTCTCATTCATGATAAATCCAGCTTTATTTTTTATCAGGGCAGAATATCTTTAATTTTTTCTTTCCCATCAATTTTAAGTTTTTCAATTATTTTGTTTTATTCTTAAAATTTTATAGTTCTCCAATTATTTTTTTTTAGTCTTAAAATTTTCTAGTTTTCCAGTTGATTTGACATTTGTTTATTCCTTACGATATTTCGTACATTAGCCCTTATTTATGTATATTTTTTTAATTTTAGACCGATCCTATATCTCACCAATTGATTGAAGCCCTTCGAAGTGAATTGAAAACTGCAGCTGCTCGGACAAGTAATGGTACTGGAAAATTAGACCCAAAGCAGCTTGTTTTCTTTGCTAAAGGTAATTTGACAGCAAAGTTTTCACAAATTTTTTAGTAGTTTGATTCGTTAATTTTAAGGTATGTACATTTACAAGTAGTAGATATGTATATGTATTCTGTTGTTGAATGTTTTATGTAAAAACAAAGGAAAGTTTATGCATTTAGTGTGAACGCACCAGTTATGGACAGGGGGTCCAGAGATGGTTGGACTTTAAATGTAAATAATAAGCTTCCTTATTGATTTAAAGGTACCAGTTTTTCTAGATTTGAGAAAATGTCCTTTGTTGACAACTGTATAAACAAAGTTCCCAAACAAAAAGTTTAAAATGCCTATCATTGTTGTTTCTGTAATGCTCTTCAGATCAGTTTGTTTCATACCTTCTTACTGACAGTTTTGCTAAGAGCAAGTTGAATATTTATGTTATGTTATCTTTATCATTATTTTTATAGTTAAATAAAGATGTTAGAGTTTTTCTGAGGTATGTCTATTGCTGGTACCGACCCTCTGTCCATTACTAGAACAATTGAATTTCAGGTTGTCCACCACTAGTGCAAAAAGGTGTTTTTTAAAAATGTATATTATATCTGCATAACTGATTTTTTTTCAATTTTAAAGTGTTAAATTGAAAAAGGAGATCCTAGAGATTCTAGATGTCCAACGGACAATATAACTATAATTATTACGGCAGTTTAAGCCAAAAATGACAAAAATTCCTTAGCTATGTCCGTCACTGGTGCGCTTACTCTAATTATTGTTCAATTTTTAATGACACATTTAAAAATAATTCATTTACACCTATTAGAATACAACGACAAAAGTTATAAAAATTGATATTTTCTTTTATCATATTTTGTTAACTATGATTAATGTTTCGGCAGTAATAGTATGTGTTAAATAAAGAAAGAACTTTTTCATGGCTGATGCATAGGTATATTCAATGTGTGCTCGGATCTTTTAAATATTTTTGGCTGTCCTACAAAATCATATGTCATTGGAAAAATTGTGGAGGACAAAGCAAGATTCTAAGGGATCTCAGGACTTTTCAACTTCAGTTTAATCTGTTCGTATTACTTTGAAACTCATGATTTGTGTATGCTTAATGTGGAATTGAAAATGTATTCATTCCTAAATATTATAATTGAATCTTGTCATAGAAAGATCACACTTTCTCAAAAAGCAATAAAAAACAAAACAACCTTACTTATTGCAAATGTTTTAGAAACAAAATAAAATAAATATCAGTTATTTATTTATTGTGGGTGCTGAAAGTTCAACGCTTTTGTTTGTCATTATCAGGGTTAAAATTAAATCAGAAACTGGAAATTAGGCAAGTGTGTAATACAAAAGCAGATAGTAACAAAAATAAATATATAAATAATTAAAATAAATTAAGTAATATGGATATAAGTAATAATAAAGATACAACTAATAGATACAATAGATGAGAAAATCATTGCAACAATAAATTTAAAAAAAAAAAAAGAATCATAATAAAAACAGTAGTATAAAATGCACAGCAATTAGTTTTAATTACTGAGATTTTACTGCATCAAGTAAACTTAAAAATATCAGGACACATGGTGAATAAATAACTGAAATTCCTTACTATTTTCATCCGCGTTAACCTTTAAACAGTCAAATATAATTCATCTAACAAAAAAGGGAAATACAACATCTTTAATCGGAAAACAATTTTTCATTTTTGAGGTCTGTTTTTCCAATGACAATCGGGGCAGTTACATATTTACCTGTTTTTATTAAATAACTTTAGGAGGAGTAGGTGAGAGTGGATTTGATGCTCATGCTGTGTACGCAGGGGACAACGCTGTGAGCGGTGGAGGAAATGCGCCGAGAACATATTTAGCGACGGAAGCTGTTCGGAATACGTTGGCTGCCCTCTTGACACGTTTTAATCATCAGGGTGCTGCTGCTAGTCTCCACCTCGACGAGGGTAATTCACAACTATCTCATTAACCCACTTATTAATTTATGTATTTTCGGTATCAGATTATTAGAAATTTTTTTGTAAATAGTGTAAATAGTAGGAATCCTTTTTTTTTTTTTTTTTTTTTTTTTTTCTTTTTTCTTTTAATCTGTGAAGTTTACTTACTTTATTATGTTCACTATTTTAATAAAGTGATATAACCTGATTCAGGTTATCCTACTGCAATGTTTAGTATGTAAATATGGAATAAGTAATAATGTAAGTTGGCACCGATAATTTTAAGTGAAAAAAAAGCATATTTTTGTTAGTTTTTAGTTATTTTTCATTTCAGGTAATTTAATCAAATTATATATTTTTTTCTTATTACCTTAGACTGATGGGAAGAAGGAATATATTAAAATAAAAGATTACTTATAAGTTTCTCATATTTAAATGTCTGATAACACTAGTTTTATATATTGCAGCCCCATTTTGGGCTACTCTAATTATGATAGTTTAATATGTTATATATGTATATTAATTAAAATATTCTGTGATTATTGTATATAATTTTGTTAGATGTTTTTGCTAGTGTTTTTCATTGTATTTGGGATGTATAAATGGGGACAATAATGTTATTGTCCATTAATAGTTGTAGAATATATTGTATCAAAGTATAAATCTCCTTGTATTTTTTTCTTTTCTTTCTTTTTTTTTCTATTCTGGAGAAATGTAAATATTGTATTTTATACTTGTTATTTAATGGTCTTATTTCGAAAATGATTATTTATTTTGGAAACAGTTTTATTTGTAAAATAAAAATAGATTCTTCATTATTAAGTTGAGAAGATGGAGTTCATTTCAAAACAGAAATCAAATCAACCTCACATTTTCTAAAAATTTTAATAGACACTTTTATTACTGGAACGCAGATATGAAGTTATTATTGACCATTGAGTAAAGACTTATTTTCTTAAGCAACATAGATTAAAATTATAAATATTAATACTGCACTGTTACTGAAGCAGAAAGCAATTTTTAACATTGATGTTACAGATAGCTGCAATTTTTTTTTTTGATAAATAGGAATCTGAACTATTATTATTTGCTGTCAACTTGGGATGGGGTTTCTTCCTTATGTTATGATAATAATATCAACAATCACGTGGATTGTAATCTATCATGTATAAACACTAGGTAATTATTAATTAATACTTTGAAGAAAGATTTTTTTTTCTATAATTCACCATATATGTCTGTTATGTAATTTTTTTTCTGTTTTTGGTTGTTATTAATTTTTCTCTTTTCGGTGATTATTTTTCACAATTTGGGTATAATGAATTCATATGATATTTTACCCTTTGTCTTCTTAAGCAAGATCTAGGCTCTTTGAGTATCTACATATATATACACTTCGCTCATCACATATTTTCTTGATAAAAAACTTATATTCTTGAATATTGAAATTCTTTATCACGGGAGTAAACTGTGACTATTTACAAAGTTCAAATTAATGCACATATCTTATTGGTTGGATTTTGTCCATTTGGTATATAATGTATATAAAATTTGTTATGACAGTCGAAATATATAACAGTCGTGGTGTCCTGTTGTACCTTTTTATCCTGAGACTAATCTAGACCAACCTTTTTTAGCCCGACTAGAAAGATCGAGATTCATTCCATGGATCTACCATGAAATAAATTGTAATCCATCCAGGCAGAATTGAACTGGTGCCACTGCTGACTTGAGGTTGCTAAATTGACGCCCACTATGGTTTCATTAATAATCTTTAAAATAATAACAATTTTCGATTAATTTAATTTTTTTGGGTTCAATAAATTAGACTATCACAAAGACTATCTTAAAGCAATGTGAAGAGAGTAAGTTCTAGAAATTTGATTTTAAATGAAGAATACAAAGATGATTCCTGTGATTGAGGTTGAAATTAAAACATTAAAGTAATTCGAAGAAATAATTTATGATGAATATGATTTTTTGGATGTATCGGTTGAATTTTAAATGTTATACAGTGCATTGGTTCTCTTTCACTTCTGCTGACATTTATCTCGAGGTTATGGTACAAAGGGTTAAACAGCTACGGAAAAAAACATTATAATTTAAGGGTTTGTGGTAGGGATTTATATTTTATAAGGATTTCCTAGACTTATTTTTAATATAACATTGGATTCCTTGTTTTGATAAAATATTTATCAAATATCTTTTATGTCATATATTGTTAGTTTTTAAATTTTACTTGTGTATATGTGAAACTGAAAATTATGTTATACCAATGTTATTATCATCAATTACAAAAAAAAAGGTACATTTTAATGACTTTAAGAAGATATAAGAACTGCAATGATGTCAACAAGGATTTGTGCAGAAGACTCATCCATCAAAATATAATTGCCATCATATTTATTTTATATTGGTTTTGAGCAGAGAGAAGGGACAAAGCAGTCATTTTGAGGTGAGCACTTTGATGTTCAAGAATCAAATTTGAAGATGAAGTATTTTCTTTTCATGTTAATTAATTTAAGAAGATATTGTTTTAGAATATTTATTTTCCTTGATGAAACTTAAACATTAATTTTAAAGTTTTATTTTATAAAGTTGCAAAAAAAAAAGTTATAACTTAATAACTTGAATCTTTAGTCGAAGTTTTTTAAAATCTATTTTCTATTATTGTTGTATGTATAAATTTAATATAGCTCTTAAAGAACAAAATTTGCAGTTATCCATTATTCTAACTGTCATTTCAGTTAAATGATAGGTTTATACTGGGGTAGAAGTGAAAAGAAGATAAAAACCTATTAAATATATTAATTTTTCATTCATCAAATTTTTAATTTATGGAACATTTCATTCTAAAACCTGCCAATGCCTCTTATATAAACTATTTCTTATTTCTCAACACATTACTTAAGCTGATATAAACAGCTGTTTTCAAGTTGCAATTTGCATAAGTTAATAATATATATCAATGTTTTGAATATTTTTTATATAATGTAAGTACTAATACTTCAAAATATTTAAATTATACAATAATCCAGTTTATTTAGTTTGCTAAATAATTTTCTCAGTTTTTTATTATCCTGTTTTTCTAATTATACTAATTGTTAAATTTATTAAACAAAAAACAACAGAAGAATAAAATTATCATTGTTTAAAAGTTTTTTAAAAATATATACTTTTTTTTATGTTCATGAAATAAATATAGCGAAATGTTTTATTTTATTTTTTAATTATAAAATTTGTAGCTGGAATATGGTACCAGAATTATTTAAGTGTTTTGAATATTGGTATATTTATAGTAAAAAAAAAAAAAGAAATTCTCTGATGATATTTTTTTTGTCAGTTTTAGGTTTTAACAACATTAAAGCCAATAATATATACAATTATAATTTATTAATTATACATTCCATTGGCTTCTATTCTATACTTTTTTTCATACAGGAAATTAATTATTAATTTTAAACGGCAAGCTTTAATAGAGAATTATGAAGTTGTAAAGTTGGTAAAATTGTATAGAAGCCAATAAATCTGCCTATTTATTATTATTTAGGAATTTTAATTATATCCATATCATTGTTACCTCCCAAAAGCTGACATTTCATTTGATATAACAATATAAAAAATGGGCAGGTTTTGTTTTAAGCCCCAGGTAAAGTCATCTGATCTCGAGAATCTTAACAATTATGTGAAATAATTTATAAGAAGTTTCATAATTTTTCTTATGAAACCAAGAACATTTTTAGTGCCTTCTATGCTGAACTATCCTTCAATGTCTGTTATTGTATTTATTTTTTAAGTCCAAGTTTTAATCTAGAATTAAAAAATATTAACTTTCAAAGAGATAATAGAAATATAAAATAATTAAAATCAATCTGAAAACAAAATATGAATAATTTTATCAACTATGTGAATTAATTAAAAATATTTGTATAATTGGACGTACACATTTGAAGTAACAGCATAGTTATTGCTTTGAGAAGACAATGAGGAAGCAGATTTGAGTGCGGAAAGTGTAGTATATGCATAAGTATGTTTGATGAGTGCTAAAATTCTGTAAAATAAAACAATAAAAGTAATTGCAACCTTCATTTTTTTGGCCTGATTAGTTATACCTCAATTCATTATTGTTTTTTTGTGCAAGTGAATGCAAAATTGGTACGAAAATATTTAGAGATCATGAGCTTTATAAATCATTAGCAGACATTTTAAGTTCTGTTTAAAATTTTGAATGAACATTTTTTTCATCAGTTTTATTTTTTTTTTTAAGGATGCATATGTGGCAGTTGATATTCGTTTCTTTAAATGTATTGATAAAGATTTGAGTTATTTTTTGTCAGAAAATCGTTTAAAATCAAACATTTAAGTATATTTTTTCAATGAAATTTTTTAGTTAAAATGATTTTATTGATCACCAGATATTGTATAATAATTTGATCAAAAATGAGACATAAAAAAGTTAGTCTATTTAAGTTGTCTTCTTTTTCTTTAATGGTATGACAGTGGTCCTTGTCCTATTCAATCATTTGCCCCAAACGACCCTATCTGCAGTTTGTACTCTGCTCATCCTTGCCTGTTTCATTTCTATGCGGAGACCACATCCTTCCAGTGTGATATGGGTTTCCTCTGAGTATTGTCCCATCTGGTGTGTTCTTGTACACTTTTAGAGGGCACCTCCTGTCTTCTATCCTAATGATATAACCAATCCATTAAGTCTTTGCAACCTGGCAAAGTTGAAGATACTCAAATCTTTGTAGTAACCATACAACTCCACATTTCAGTGCAGACGCCAAGTTTCACTGTCTTTGACCGGTTCAAGAATGTGTCTCTAGGATCTTTCTCTCAAAGCGATCAACCGTTAGTGCAACTGAATTGCTGAATGTTCACGTTTCTGCTATTGGTCTTATAAGATTGTAGTCTCATTTTCGTGGCGTGACTTAGTAGTCTGCTTCTCATAACATGCTATGTTGGTTTTTGCTAATCTACATCTAATGTCAGCTTCCTCTTCCATCTTTTCTGTTATTGTAGATTCCAGGTATTGGAATCATACCTCAAAAGTATATTTTCCCATTCGACGTTGTTGTGGGGCCACATCATGTTTCCTTACATCATTTTTATTTATCGTAAGTCCCATGTTTTTTGCTTCTTGCTTTATCTTGAAGAAAGCTTTCTCCTTAGCAGCTTGTGATGTCCCGATAATTGCGTCATCTGCATACACTAGGGTTTATACCATTCTGTATAGCTCTGTGTTCATGCCAAACGGTCCATTACTGCTTCCTCTCATCCAGACTTGGCAAATATTCTTTTTTATGATACATCTACTTAGTTCAATAAGTTTTCTTGGGATGCTAATTTCTTTCATTGTACTATAGAGTTTCGTTCTAATTACTGAATTGTAAGCTACCTCAAAGTCGTCTACTAACTATTGTTGATACTTCCACAGAGGGTGGCCGAATTCATACATCTTTTCACACCGTTGTTTATTAGTAAAAATTTGGTCTATTGTTGACATAATTCTTACGAAAACCTGCTTGGTAGTCACCAACTATGCATATCATGTAATGTATCAACATGTTATATAGTGCAATAGTGAAGATCTTATATGCAACATTCAAGAGACTGGGGACAACATTCTTCTCAAGTCCTGGAATGACTACAGATTCCTCCCATTTTTCATGTAGTCTTTCTTGCCATATATGGGCAACCAGGCTGCAGTATTTCTGTATTCATTTTGGGTCTCGTCTCTTTCTACAGCTCTGCCGTGATGTTATCCGTTTCTGGTGCTTTACAATTTCTGACTCCAGCAATGATGTCGACAGTATTCTCTGCCTTCAGGGATGTTTCCTTATCTTTATCATCCTGATCGTATTCGTTGCATTCATGTGCAGAATTCAACATGTCACTAAGTAAGGGAAGTATCTCTTCTCAAGTATCTCTCTTATATTTTTATTAATTCATCAGCCACTGTAAGCAGTGCACCATTCTCATCCCTTATCACTGTTTCATTTGACTTTTATGTTGTTTTATAGTCCTCGACTTCGTGTAAAAATTTCGTTGTCTCTATATTCAACAGGGATGATTCTATATTCCTGATTTTTTTATTCATGGCCATCCTCTTCTTTTTCTTACAAGAGCTATTTCCATATACATCCCTGTATTCTTCTTTTGTTTGCCGAGAATCAGCAAGAAACTTAGTCCTTTCGATATTGTGCATTTTCAGATCTTCCTCACTTTTATGTGTCCAAATAATATTGATTATAATCTTGGGTAAATGGTTGACTGTCGTGAATAATGAAGAGAAGAATAGTTGGGGTGATCAGTCAAATAAGAAGGCAAAAATAAATGATAATATTTATTTTGACATTTGCCGACGTTTCGACCAGAAGTTCAGGCCTTCATCAGGGCTAAGAAAAGAACCAGATAACAAGGTATGAGAAACATAAATAGTGTAGGTAAAAAAAAAAAAAAATTAAAGTAAAATGAAGTTGTTAGAATAATGACAATAGTAAGAACTAAGAGATAAATAATAATAACCGTTATAAAGTGTGGAATGATGAAGTAAACATAATCAAAAAAGGTGACATAAGTATTAAAATGGGAATCTTAGAATAAAATGTAAAACAGAAAATAGGAAAATAAATGTTATATAAGAATGAAAATAAATAGTAAAATTAAGATATTGCGAATAGAATAGTTAGATAGAAAATTGAGATATTGTAAAGTCTATCAAGATATACAGACAACGTATAATATAATAAAGAATTAAAACAGAGAAAAGGAATGAAAGGAAGGAGGGAAGAAACTGAGAAGGCTGAAATAAGAAAGAGAAAAAAAGGAAACGTACCTGTCTCCACCAGTGTTAAACGGAGAAGTAAAAATCGTAGCAAGGGAGGGGGGAGAGAAGAGATGTATTGTGGCGTCATCTCTAACGGTTATCTGACGAAGTTTGAACTAAAGTACCGGAAGCATAAATAAGGACGAGAGATATATTTCTCATAAATATTATGGATAATAATATTTATGAGTAATATATCTCTTGTCCTTATTTACGCTATACATTACAACTATTCTTCTCTTCATTGATTATAATCCATTTATTTTAGTCTAGTTAAATTTATTTGTCGATGTTGAGGTTTAGAACAAACCTGTTCTCCTTTTTCAGTTTTATTTAATTTAGCATTAGAATGTGTCATTTGAAAAGTAACTTTTACACAAATATATTTAATTCTGTCCAATAAAATTCTTATGTTTGGGTATGCTAGTTCTTTTGGGTACTTTTAGTTAAAGTTGTGGAAAATATTGAAAGTATTACATTAATGAAAACCATTGAAGAATACTATTTCAAATTAAATATCGATAAGACAAAAATCTTTGTAATATATGATGAAACAGTGATATATGTGACATGTTTGAATAGCAGAAAAATGAACTCTACCGGGCTCTATAATAACTGAAAGAAATGGAATTCAAGAGAATATAAAGGCATGATTGATTATCAATTTAAATATTTGTATACCTCAGTGGAATTTTTTATGTATGGAGAAAAGAAAATGAGTTTAGTTTTCTGAAAAATAGGTGGAATTTTTTAACTTTTAGTTAATTTTAGTCTTTCCTTGCGATAGGTCGACTTAGGCTTTTGAAGAAATCTCATTTTTATTGGGATGAAATGAATTAGCAGATCGTGCTGTTGATTTGAAAAGATTTTAGGATGAGGTGATGAAGAAAGCTATATCAAACTGTTATAAAACACTCAATGTTAAGAGTATTCACAGACAACTAAAGAAAACAAGCTTTGTTTGGGTATAACATGATCTCAATGAGTGACAGTTCTTGAGATATATGTTTCATTGCTTGCTGTGTAAAAAAACAAAACAAAAAAAAAAAAAATATATCTGGTGTGTCCACTCACACGACTTTCCTACCTATTTCAGAAAAGTTTTTATATCTTTACATATGTTCATGAAAAAACAAAAAAGAATTGAACTAGATTTATTTTCCTGAAAATTTATCAAACAAAAGATTTGAATATGATTTATTTGATAAACTAAACCAATGTAAAGCGGCTTAAGGTAGATCAGTGTAAAAATTTCAATAGTCACTAATATTGCTGATCAAAAACTTTGCCATAGCTTAATTTTGTCGAACAATAATTTCTGTTAAAAGTAGAGAACAGATTTTCTTACTTTCACTTAGTCATCTTTATTCTCTCATTCACTCCTTTCTGACACCAGGATATGAACCCGTAATCTTATATTCGAAATTGAATAGCTGTAACTTTGTTAATAGTTGTCCAAAATGAACGATTTTTATCTGGCTTTGTAGGGAATTTCATTACCTTTCAAATGACAGGCTAAAAATGTGTTGCGACAGGCCCCAACACATTTTTCTTTTCTTTATAACTTTTTTCCTGATTTTTTTCGGGAATTTAGTCTATATACGAAAATTGAAAGGACAATGATTAAAACATTATAGGAAAATTTCATCAAAATCGTTAGAGCCGTTTTCGTACCACAGTCTATAGAAAAACATGTATTTTATTTATTGCGTGCAAACTATTGCGCATGGAGCACCAAATTTCAGATCTGTGAAAACCGCATATCGGAAATTTGACCCGATTGCAATACTTTCCTTACCTAGTATAGGTAGGAAAGTAAAAACCTGCCTCTTGATGAAAAAATTGTAATTTCTTATGAAAAATGGATTGAATATGATTATTGGGGTTATCCAATTCAGTAGTTGAATGGTAACGAAAAACTGAGACATATACCACAACTAACAGCATAGAAAAAATAATAATGGTGACCTATGAAAGGATTATTCACTATTTATTTTTCCGTTGAGGTGGAGCTGTTAAATTTGGCCAATGGATGCACAAATACTGTGTGACATCACATTTGTGTTAAGACTATTAATAAATTGATGGAACTAAACTGTGAAGTTCTGCATTTAGCTTATTTTCCACACCTTTCTCTGATAAATTTTCACCTTTTTAAGAATTCAGATATTCTGTGTGAAAGTTATTGAAAATTATTTACATAAACAAAAAAAAAAAATGTCTAACTTAATGACTTACCAAAACTTGGTATTTTT